ATTGATATGCATTAGTATAAGTTAGACTTACCTTGGTTATTAAGTGATTCTACTCACTCCTTTCTTTTCATTATTACAGGAGCTAGCTCATTGAGACACAACCAAGGGAAACATTCTGAGGCTTAGGATTCTATTCTAAATAGTAGGCCTTATTTATTGTAATTCTTATTATGTCTATAATTCGTATGGTATTGCTAACTAGGAAAGTACATATTATTAGTTTACTTGCACTATTAGATTATTGAATTAAATTGTGTATTTTGGGCTTTAGGATAAATGTGTATTGATTGTGGAATCTAAAATAGAGTCAAAATACTAGTACAAGTAAAGAGTGGGAGAAATATAATTGTTGTGAAATGACTATGATGATCGTGAAATTGAGGCTTCCCCTTCTATTTTTGTAATTAAGGGGTTGAGTATTGAAAATATATTTGATATACTAAATTTGTGATGCGGTATATTGTACAAGTCCATTATGATCCATTGAGTTTAGGGTGTAAATTAAGCTTTCGGCACTTGGATTGAATGTTGGGTACCCAAGTTGTGTTTGAAATGTATAAAGGAGTAAGTTGAGGGATGGGTGTCCAATCTTTGACTGAAAAATTATTTGATTGTGAAATCAGTGCCATTAGCTTGAGTTAGAAAAAAGTTCTTTGTAAACACCTAAATCGCCTCAATTGGATATCGAACTGAGAAATGGGGTGCATCTAAAGTTCTGCCCAATTGCTCATATGACAGCAACAATGTTATCAAAATTGTGTAATGCATAGTGGCACATGGTACGGAGGACATTTTGTACTAAAATGCTATTTTTCTCAATGGAAATGCAAATGCTTTATTGTAAACTATATTCCACACTTTCATGAATTTATTCTACTCTAACTTGAGATTTAGAAACAAGTATAAGAACGTTTGAAAATTTTGAAAGCTTGAAATCTTGTGTTGTAAAATTTAAAAACTTTGTAATCCTCTTAGGTTGATCCCTTGGTTACCTCAATTCTTGGAGTTAACTAGAGATTAGTAAGGGAGACTTTACACAGTACATTCTAGTTATTAACTCACATTGTGAGGATGATGCTAATGCCGATGTAGTCATAGATCCAGTTGAATGTCCTTCAGATGTTGATAAGGACATCATCTTTGATGAAAACGGATGTGAGATGCATTGAGTCAAAAATTATGCAATCCATTCTATTAATCCCTTTATCTAATGATTCATAGAAGTGAACAAGTATTTTATAGAGCCGATAATTCAGGCAAGTTGAGCTTATTCAGGTCGAGCTCAATTTAAGCTAGGCTTATTTAGATTGAGTTTGAAGTATCCTACTCTCTTATAGCCAAGCTCGACCCTAACTTTTTTCTATCGGGTTTAGGCTAACCCGTCGAGCTTAGCCAAAATTGCCAATTTTATATACATATGGAGCTGAAAATTTTAGTGGTTGACCTCAATTCAAACCGGGCTTATTTGGATCGGGCTTAAAGTATCATATCCTCTTAAAAAAGCTCATATAGTTAAGCACGACCCTAACTTATTTCGGGCCGGCTCGAATGACCGACTCCTAGTATTTTCCATGCTTTTGTGAAGTGTGGGGACAAAGTTTGCAAGTTAGTATTTAATTGAGGGAGTTCAAGAAATGTTATTTCTAGTCAAGGAGTACCTTGACTTGGTCTCAAGATAAAACCTCACTCAGAACCTTTACATGTTGCATGGGTTGACAAAACTTCTTTACTAATCACCCAGCGGTGCCACGTTCCTCTTCAATTAGGTGACTACAAAGAAGAGATTCTTTGTAATGTTCTCCTTATGGATGTTGCACACATTTTGCTTAGTTGATTGTGGCTTTATGATCACAATGTCATCGACTATGGTCGAGAGAATACCTATACCTTTAAGCATGAAGGCAAGACAATCTTGTTGCATCCTGTTAAGCCTGACAACAATGGCAAATGCCCAAGTAAATTAAAAGGCACAAAACCCAAAACCCTTTTGATAGAAATACAATTTGCGCAGGAAAGTAGAGAAAGTATGATTGTGCTTATTTTGGTGCCTAAGATCTCTTAATGAATTACTACTTTTCAGAAATGCCTAAAGAGGTGCAACAACTCTTAAAGCAATTCTAGGATATCACCCTGGATGAGCTTCCATCTGACCTACCATCAATGAGAGATATCCAATATGCAATTGATTTCATTCCGAGATCACAACTCCCCAACCTAATGCACTACAAGATGAACTCTAAAGATAGAGACGAGCTTAACCGACAAGTTAATGTATTATAGGAAAGGGGTTATATCCAACATAGTATGAGTCCTTGTACAATACTTGCTCTTTTGACTCCAAAGAAAGACGACTGTTGAAGAATGTGCATAGACAGTATAAACATCAACAAAATTACCATTAAGTATAGGTTTTTCAATCCTAGACTTAATGACATGCTTGATTTGGTATCTAGATCTAGTTGGTTTTCAAAAATTCATCTTCAAAGTGGTTATCATTAGATTAGGATTAGACTCAAACATGAGCGGAAGACTCCCTTCAAGATGCAAGATGGGTTGGTCGAATGTCTTGTCATGTTATTCGGATAGTCAAATGCACCAAGCACATTCAAGAGAGTAATGACCCACATTCAAGATGAGTTTAAGTAGACCTCTGTAGCATCATTAGCTTTTTAAGATATTAAGAAAAAGCTTTTTGAAGCTCCAGTCCTGTCTTTGCTAGATTAGAAAGTGTTTTAAAGTTTCTTGTAAAGCATTTAGGACAAAAATAAGTGGTGTTTTGGGTTAAAAAAAATCACCCAGTGGCTTTCTTTAGTGAAAAGCTCAATGCTACTAAGCAAAAATACTCCATTTATGATAAGGACTTTTATGCCTTTGCAAGATCCCTGGAGTATTGGAAGTATTACCTTCTTCCTCAACAGTTTGTTCTTTACTCTGATCATCAAATACTTAGATTCATCTCTGTGGCACCTAAGTTCTAAACATGCTAAGTGGTTTGAATATATTCAAGAATTTACATTTGTTGTCAAGCATCACTCAAGAATAGAAAACAAAGTAGCTGATGCTCTAAGCCGACGAATCAATTTATTGCACACTATAAGTGTTAGTGTCATTGGCTTTAACAACCCTTAAGGATGAGTATGCGGCATGTCTTGATTTTGGGGTAATATATTAGGAAGTTACTAGCGATAATGGTCATGATCATATTAATTTCATCTTTCAAGACAATCATCTCTTCCATAGAAGCAAGCTATGCATCCCACATACTTTTATGCAAGATTTCCTCACATGGAAATTACATGCTAGAGGTTTAGTTAGTCATTCAGGGGTTAATAAAATGGTGGCATTAGTTGAAGACAAGTTCTATTGGCCTTCACTCAAGCATGTCGTGGCTCACATAGTGTATCCATGTTGAACTTGTCAAACTTCTAAAGCTTAAAGATAAAATACTGGTTGGTATACTCTTTTGTCAATCCTTAAGGCACTTTAGAAAGACTTGAGTGTGGACTTTCTCTTCAGATTGCCTCAAACAGCTAGAGGTCATGACTCTGTATTGCCTATTATGGACATATTTTTCAAGATGGCTCATCTTATTCCTTATAGCAAGACCACAGGTGCTTTGCATCTGGCAAAGTTGTTCTTTAAGGAGATTGTGCATCTGTGTGGATTACCTGCTATTATCATATCTGATAAGGATATTAAGTTTGTCAGCTACTTTTGGAAGACCTTATGGAAACTTTTTGGTGCCCAGTTAAAGTTCTCTTCTGCATTCCACCCCTTGATAGATGAGCAAACTGAAGTTATTAATTGAAGTTTGGGTCATTTGTTTAGAAGTTTAATTGGAGACAAGCCAAAGAATTGGGATTTAATTCTACCCACTGCTGAGTTTGCATATAATAATTCGGTGAATTGGTCCACAAGCATAAGTCCCTTCTAGATTGCTCAAGGTTTTAATCCTAAACAGCCTATTGACCTTATGCCAATCTTGTTGACATTTTGCACCTTTGAATCTGCATAATCCTTTGCCATTGCCTTCATGAATTACGTGCTAAAATTAGGCGCAAATTAGCGATGAGTAATGATCAATATAAATTATCTACTAATACTCATCACCAATTTCAAAGCTTTGATATAGATGACTATGTTATGACTCGAATTCGTACAAAATATTACCCTAAGCACACTTTTAAAAAGTTGCAGGCTCGAGCTTTTGGACCTTTTTGCATTGCAAAAAAATTAGGACCTAATGCTTATCTTTTAGAACTACCTCCTGATATGGCCATAAGTCCAGTTTTTAGCCTAATGTGGAGAATCTTATGCCTTACCGGGGGAATTTTTTAGCCTTCACATTTGCTTTCTGATGATTCTACAAGTACTCAGCCTCTACAAGTACCAATCCCATCGCTATCGACTGTCTCGCCACCAATTGAAGAAATTGAAGCCATCATGGATGACCAAATTGTCTTTACCTTTGAGGGGCCCGTCCTTCATTACTTGGTTCATTAGAAAGGTCACTCAAATAAAAATACCACTTGGATTTCAGAAGATGAATTCTGGCATCTTAATCCTATCCTGCTAGAAGCCTATCAACTCTCTACCTCTTTATAGGAGAGTTCTTTGAAGCAAGGGGGAATTAATAGAAAATATGGCAAATATTATTCCAAAAAGAAATAAATTTCCAAATTGCTTTTGCATTATTTAGTTTTTTTGTAAGTTTCCTTCTAAAGAAGGAAATCTGAACTTACTTTATGCTTTTACTTATTTTCTGCCTTTTAAAGAGAAGGAAATCTTAGTTTATAAATTAGACTAGGTTAACTCTTGTATTATACACTTGTTGACGATAGAAACCTGATTGTTCCCTCTCCCTACGTTCTTGTTCAATCTCTTGCTCTCCCACTATTCTGTCCTTCCTCCGATTCCCTCTCGCTCTCTGTTCTCCATTGCTTTAGGATTAAAAAAAAAGAAGAAAATATCTTTCAAGAAAACTGGAGCATAGCTTATACCTGAAAGCCTGTCCTTCAGCATCCGCAAATTAATAGGACATCTCTTGTGAATGCCATCCTAGGTTTAGGCTGATCAGAAGCGTCTCCTGTCACATAGGTTACACAACCCAATGCATGGCCAAGAGTAGCATGAGCCTACAGCAATAAAAAAAATTATGAACATTACACAATATTGAATAGTGTATTAGTACATGTCACCCACAGCCAAGTATAACGGAAGACAAGAGCTTTTTGCCACAACAGAATTAGAATAAAAAAGGATCATTTTATGTCGATGTAGATATTAATATAAAGGATAAAAACCATATCAAGTCACACAGTCCACGAACTGTGAACAGCATGGCCAAGAACTCAAATTTCGTAAATAGAAGGCCCACCTAGTCATTTATCAAGATATATATGCATACATATATATATATATATAAATTATAACAAGCTACACTATTTACCAGCCATGAACAAGGCAACACATTCCTCATTCTCCATGCAACGTATGGAAAAAAACATGTCTAGCTTAATATAATCAACATCAAGGGAAATTGATTAGCAATAATTTGCAGCCACAAAAATACTTCTCTTTAAAAGCAATTGCACCCCTAACAATTGAGCTGCAGAGCTGATTGTTTGCTGATCATTATGTCATTCAACATAATATGTGAATGGGGAAAACTATGATTCACTTTTTAGATGCTTATGTGAAGTTCTTCAATAGATTTATGAAACAATGACCATCTTAAAAAAAAAAAAATCAATACAATCAAGTTTAGGTCCAAAAAAGATCCACCTACCATGTTTTTCTTGAAAGAATCTCAGAAAATGCCAAAGAAAGTTTACCGAGTCTTATACAAAGACACCAAACCAGGGAAGGAGGCTGTAACACCAACCCCCAGAAAAAGATCACCAAAACTGACGTTATCACCATGCTCTACATACAGATCAGCTGTTGCACCACTGGCTCTTGAAATAATAGATTTTACATCTGGAACTTTGCTCTATACAAGATGAGTGGTTAAAAATTTGACCACCAAGCAATTACAGAATGTTAATAAACCTAGCAAAAATAAATCCAATAGCAGATCACAGAGAGAAATTAAATGAACAAAAAAAAGATTCAGCAACAGTAGACCTTTATGTGGTCAGTCCCTGTGACATGATCAGCATCTACATGTGTGTTCATGGTATATTATAAACTTCAGTCCCAATTCTTGAATGAGGGATAAATCTCTATCCACTGTCTTATCTACTGGATCAATCAACTTAACATTAAAAAATCTCCATTAATCATATAATGAATGAGCCTAGAAATTCCCAACAATATAGCCCAAAATACCCACCCCCACTGCCTTAACAACATAAATACCAGAAACACTTTCTGACAATCTCACAGCAACCCCATTTCCAACACAAGCTGATGCAGAGCCAAACTATAAGAAAGATAAAAGAATCCTATATGATTGAGAACTTACCACAGCCAGATTGGGGGGATATAAAACATCAGTGTGGAGATAAGTGTAGGTTGAGGATTCTTTCTCAAAAAGCTCACATTTGTTAAAGGGTTTTTTTTAGCTGTTTCATATTAATTTTTTAAAAAAAAAATCTGTCACAAATTCTTCTACTATTAGTTATAATTTTTTTTTTGGCCAAACCATATCTGCAGGGACAACCGTGTCAATCAGTTTTAGATATGGCAGATTAAGATCTGTCACAAGGATCAAATGTATCATTAGTACTTTACCTGATTGAAATTAAAAAAAAAACACGCATTTTAAGACTATGCACAGATATCAGTCCAGCTAAAATTTGAAATATTTATATAGCACTTACTTACCAGTATATTCTTGAAAGTTTCCTGCAAAAGAAGCATAGACACTATCAGTATTGAGACATTGTTTGAATTGAAGCTAACCAAAACCTAGGAAACACCAATGCTAGCATGACTAAACATATTACATCCTAGAATATTGTGTTACATCTAGTGCAAGTGTTTAACCATGTATTAGATTGGATTAGGCTTCATGTTAAAAGTGTATATGCTTCATAAACCAAAAGTAGAATATAGTTAAATTTTCAATGTTATATTCTCTTTTGCTATTTGTCACTGATGTATACTTTTCTTGTCAATATTACAAGATCTGCTCCAATGCCTTCATAAGAGCTTTTCTTTTTATCAGAAGAAAAAAGGATACAAATTAATGCTCACAACTCATCATCCTATTTAACCAGATAACATCTTCTAGTACACAATTGATGAAAGAATACTAGCTCGTTCCTTTGTTTTGCAATATCTATCATGTCTCTGTCATTTTTTCTTTTTCTTTTTTTTCTTTTTTGATAAGTTTTACTTCATGTTTTAAAGGATAAGCATGACAATCTATTTTCTATCATCAAAATCAAAGACAAGGGATTCAAAACTTAAAAAATGAAAAAATTTGTAATTCAACTTTCCCACATTCAAGGATTTAAAACGGTCAGAACATTCCCACATTTATATCACAAGTTGAATCATCCATAACAGTCAGAACATTCCCACAATTGTAACAAAAGTTAAAGGATCCCAAATGGTAAAAAGATTCCCACATTTGTAAGCCAAGTTAAAGGATCCAAAATGGTCAGAACATTCCCACATTTGTATCACAAGTTAAGAATTCAAAACGGTCAGAACATTCCCATGTTTGTAATTGAACTTACAGGACCCAAAACGTTTAGAACTTACCCATATTTGTAAACCAAGTTCAAGGATTCAAAATGGTCAAAGCATTCCCACATTCATATCACAAGTTAAAGAATCCAAAATTGTCAAAACATTTCTACATTTTTAATCAAAGTTAAAGAATCCAAAACAGTTAGAGCATTCCCGCATATGCAATCGAAGTTAAAGGATCTAAAACGGTCAGAACATTCCTGCATTTGTAATCCAAGTTAAACGATCTAAAACGATAAAGAACAGTCTCACATTTGCAATCAATTGAAATGATCCAAAACGGTCAAAATATTCTCAAATTTGTATTTCTAAAAAAAATATCAAAAACAGTCAAAACATTTTCACATTTGCGATCAAAGATGAGGGATTCAAAAATTTGTAATTCAACTTTCCCACATTCAAGGATTCAAAACGGTCAGAGTATTCCCACATTTGTATCACAAGTTGAATGATCCATAATAGTCAGAACATTCTCACAATTGTAACACAAGTTAAAGGATTCAAAACGGTCAAAAGATTCCCACATTTGCATCACAAGTTAAGGATCCAAAAAGGTCAGAACATTTCCACATTTGTATCACAAGTTAAAGGATCTAAAACGGGTCAAGACATTCCCACATTCATAATCAAAGTTTAAGGATCCAAAATGGTTACAACATCTCCATATTTGCAATCAAAGTTCTAGGATCTAAAACCACATCTATAATCCAAGTTAAAGGATCCAAAAGGAAAAAAAATAATCTCACATTTGCAATTAATTGAAACGATCCAAAACAGTCAAAATATCCAAAATGCTCCAAATATTTTCACTTTTGTAAGTGAAGATGAGGGATTCAAAACAACAAAAAAATACAAAAATTCATAATTCAACTTTCTCACATTCAAGGATTCAAAACGGTCAGAACATTCTCACATTTGTATTACAAGTTGAATGATCCATAGCGCTCAGAATATTCCCACAATTGTAACACAAGTTAAATGATCCAAAATGATAAAATGATTCCCACATTTGTAAGCCAAGTTAAATGATCCAAAATGATCAGAACATTCCCACATTTGTATCACAAGTTAAAAGATCCAAAACGGTCAGAACATTCCTAAGTTAAGGTTCCAAAACGGTCAAAACATTCCCACATTTGTACATTCCCAAGTTAAGGTTCCAAAACAGTCAGAACATTCCCATGTTTGTATCACAAGTTAAAAGATCCAAAATGGTCAGGACATTCCCACGTTTGTACTTAAAGTTCAAAGATCCAAAATGGTCAGAACATTCCGACATTTGTAAACTAAGTTCAAGGATCCAAAATGGTCAAAGCATTCCCACATTTGTATCACAAGGAAAGGATCCAAAATAGTTAAAGCATTGCCACATTTGTATCACAAGTTAAAGGATCGAAAACGGTCAAAACATTCCCACATTTTTAATCAAAGTTAAAGAACCCAAAACCGCATATGCAATCGAAGTTAAAGAATCCAAAATGGTCAAAACATTCCTGCATTTGTAATCTAAGTTAAATGATCTAAAACGATAAAGAACAGTCCCACATTTGCGATCAATTGAAATGATCCAAAACAACTAAAATATTCTCAAATTCGTATTTCTAGTAAAAATATCAAAAATGGTCAAAACATTTTCACCTTTATTATTGAAGATAAGAGATTCAAAACAATAAAAAATTGAAAAATTTGTAATTCAACTTTCCCACATTCAAGGATTCAAAACGGTCAGAACATTCTCACATTTGTATTACAAGTTGAATGATTCATAACGGTAAGAACATTCCCACAATTGTAACACAAGTTAAAGGGTCCAAAATGGTTAAAATCCAAAAAGGTCAGATCATTCCCACATTTGTATCACAACTTAAGGATCCAAAAAGGTCAGATCATTCCCACATTTGTATCACAAGTTAAAGGATCCAAAACGGGTTAAGACATTCCCACATTTATATTCGAAGTTCAAGGATCCAAAACAATTACAACATTCCCACATTTGCAATCAAAGTTCTAAGATCCAAAACCAGGTCCGTAATCCAAGTTAAAGGATCCAAAAGGATAAAGAACAATCCCAGATTTGCAATTAATTGAAATGATCTAAAACGGTCAAAATATTCTCAAATTTGTATTTCAAGTAAAAATATCCAAAATGGTCCAAACATTTTCACTTTTATAACTGAAGAAGAGGGATTCAAAACAATAAAAAAATTCAAAAAGTCATAATTCAACTTTCCCACAATCAAGGATTCAAAACGGTCAGAACATTCTCACATTTGTATCACAAGTTGAATGATCCATAACAGTTAGAACATTCCCACAATTGTAGCACAAGTTAAATGATCCAAAATAGTCAAAAGATTCCTAGATCTGAAAGCCAAGTTATAGGATCCAAAATGATCAGAACATTCCCACATTTGTATCACAAGTTAAGGATCCAGAACGGTCAGAACATTCCCATGTTTGTATCACAAGTTAAATGATCTAAAATGGTCAAGACATTCCCTCATTTGTACTCGAATCAAGGATCCAAAGTGGTCAAAACATTCCCACGTTTGTAATCTAAGTTCAAGGATCTAATATGGTCAAAGCATTACCACATTTGTATCATAAGGTAAGGATCCAAAATGAGTAGAGCATTGCCACATTTGTATCACAAGTTAAAGGATGCAAAACGGTCAGAACATTCTCATATTTTTAATCAAAGCTAAAGAATCCAAAATGGTCAAGGCAATCCCGCATTTGCAATTGAAGTTAAAAGATCCAAAACGGTCAGAACATTTCCACATTTGTAATCCAAGTTAAACAATCCAAAATGATAAAGAACAACTCAACATTTACAACCAATTGAAATGATCCAAAATAGTCAAAATATTCTCAAATTTGTATTTCCAATAAAAATATCAAAAACAGTCAAAACATTTTTACATTTATAATTGAAGATGAGGGATTCAAAACGATAAAAAAATTCAAAAATTTGAAATTCAACTTTCCCACATTCAAGGATTGAAAACAATCAAAACATTCCCACATTTGTATCACACATTGAATGATCCATAACGGTCAGAACATTTTCACAATTGTGACACAAGTTAAAGAATCCAAAACGGTCAAAAGATTCCACATTTGTATCACAAGTTAAGGATCCAAAAAGGTGAGAATATTCCCACATTTGTATCACAAGTTAAAGGATTCAAAACGGTCAAGACATTCCCACATTTGTAATCAAAGTTCAAGGATCCAAAATGGTGAGAACATGGTGCAATTGAAGTTAAAGGATCCAAAATGATCAGAATATTCTCACATTTATAATTCAAGTTAAAGGATCCAAAACAATAAAGAACAATCCTCATTTGCAAATAATTGAAAGGATTGAAAACGGTCAAATATTCTCAAATTTGTATTTCAAGTAAAAAAATCCAAAATGGTCCAAACATTTTCACATTTGTAATTGAAGATGAGGGATTCAAAACAATAAAAAATTCAAAAATTTTGTAATTCAGCTTTCTCACATTTAAGGATTCAAAACGGTCAGAACATTCCTGCACTTGAATCACAAGTTAAATAATTTATAATGGTCAAAGCATTCCCACAATTGTGACACAAGTTAAAGTATCCAAAATGATCAAAACATTCCCACATTTGTAAGCCAAGTTAAAAGGTCCAAAATAGTCAAAACATTCCCACATTTGTATCACAAGTTAAGGATCCAAAACGGTTAGAACACTCCTACATTTGTATCACAATTTAAAAGATCCAAAATAGTCGGAACATTCCCACATTTGTCGTTGAAGTTAAAGAATCCAAAACAATCAGAACATTCTCACATTTACAATTAAAGTCAAAGGATCCAAAACGGTCAGAACATTCTCAAATTTTTAGTCCAAGTTAAAGGATCCAAAATGATAAAGAACAATCCCACATTTGTAATTAATTGAAGGGTCCCAAAATGGTCAACATATTCTAAAATTTGCATTTCAAGTAAAAATATCCAAAATGGTCAAAACGTTTTCAAATTTGTAATAAAAGATGAAGGATTCAAAACAATAAAGAAAATCACAAATTTGTAATTCAACATTCCACATTGAATGATTAAAAACAGTCAGAACATTCTCATATTCGTATTACAAGTTAATGGATCCATAATGGCCAAAACATTCCCACAATTGTACCACAAGTTAAAGGATCCGAAATGGTTAGAACATTCCCATATTTGTATCAAAACTTAAAAGGTTAGAACATTCTCATATTTGTAATCAAAGTTAAAATATCCAAAACAGTTAGAGCATTCCCACATTTTTATAGAAGCCATCAAAATCGAATTAAAAGATCCAAAAAATTCAAAACATCCCACATTTGTAATTGAATTTAAAGAATCCAAAACAATGAGAAAATTCTCATATATGTATAGGAGCCATCAAAATATTAGATAAAAAATCCATATTAGTCATAACATTTTCATATTTGCAATCAAATTTAAAATATCCAAAACAATTAAAATATTTCCACATTTGTAAAGTAAGTTAAAGGATATATAGCCATCAAAAAATTTCCAAATTTATATCACAAGTTAAGAATTCAAAATAGTCAGAAGTCAAAAGTTTCAAGAAAAGTTAACAATACCACCAGTACTGTCAGCATATTCCAGCTCCTCATTACTATCTTCCTCAATTGGTTGCTGAAATAAAGATACTTTTGCATATGAAGGAACAAACTCAAGCAAGGTTACAATCTGGAAGTATAAAATTCCTAAAGCCATTAATAGTTGTGTAATTGATTTGATAAAAATGAATCCTCTATAATCCCATATAGTAATTACTAGCTAAAGTAATTAATAAATAGGAAATTGAATTTTAGAATTCTTTAACAAACTAACGGACACAGAAAGATGCAATTATCACTGAAGTTTAATATATTTAATGGATATCAAGTATAAAAATAAAGCGCATAATCATACGAAGAAATTAAGGGCTTCGGTTATACACTTATACTCAAGTACATGCCAATGCCAAATCCTCCCACCCCCCCCCCCCAAAAAAAGGGTTCTTCAGGGTAAAGGCAGGATACTACGGTCACTATCTCCAAGCCCATATTAACCTTATAAGAATTATAATTCTTAACTTCAAAGAGGAGATATATTTGAGAATTCGAAGATAAGGTTTGACAAATGTATAGTAGTTTAGGCTTACCTTCTCAAACTCACAAGGCATTGAAGGGCCAATCGCATGCACAGAAGGCAACTCAGGAACTATTTTCCAAACGTGTTGATGAAAATCTTTGGTCAGCTTCGGATCAACTGTCCTCCATGAATATTTTTCTCGAACAAATTCCCTGGAACGAGAAGCAGAGGAGGGATCGAACATCTGGGTATCGGCAAATGAATCCCGGGGATCTCAACAGCATCACCAATAAACGAAGCAGGGTGACCGCCGGCATGTTTATTAGCCGCATCAACAGACAACTGTGAGAACTGAGAAAAACGAGAACATCTCAGAGACAGGAATCATGAGGCAAACCCGCATCCTGAAGGTCGGCGCTTTGAAATAACCGTTACGACAAGAGATTGCGTAAGAGTGGCGCGCTGGGTTTTTTTTTTTTTTAAGTGTAATTAATAATATTTGATTGCTTAAGAATGGCGCTACCGAACTTATTATTTTAATAAACGTAATTATTATTGATATTTTATAGTAGCAGTAATAGTAATAAAAATATTAATAATAATTGCATACATGAAAATAAAACAAATATGAAAAATATACTAAATATATTCTTCATAATATATCAATCGAATAAATTTAAAATTTTATTCAAAAAGTACATAAAAACAAAACTTTCTAGGAAAAAATATTTCTTTGACCCCACAGTTTTTTTCAATTTAAATTCAGATCCCCATAACTTTTTATATTAAAAATCCTTTAAAATTATGGTCAATTTGAATCAATATCCCTGAAAATAATGGGGTACTAATATTTTTTACCAAAGCTAATTATAATTTCCTGAATTGATTCCATAATGAAAAAATTATGAGCACCTTAACCGTAGTTGATCAAAACTCTGGCTAACATAAATTACATTTTCAATAATTGGGACGTCTAATAAGATAACCGCTACCGGTTCATTCTTTTCATCTATGATGCTCATTGACATGCTAAAAAGGTTGGCCAAATAAATTAATTATTTTGCTATTTTTTTTAAGTAAGCATATATTTTTAGCACTTTACTTTTCAGTTTGGAGAAATATAATTTTAATTTTTATAGTTTTATCAAATTTTACTTTTAATCCTTGCAGTTTTTCAGTGCTTTCAGGCCCTGTAAAGACTAAAACAAACCACTGAAAAATGAAAAATAATAAGAATTTAAAAAATAAAAGTCACCCAATCTTTTTAAAATTATAAAAATTAAAAATATTAAAAAAATTATAGGAATTAAAAATAAAACTCAATAAAACTATAAGGACTAAAAATTATATATTTTTTCTTTTAGTTTTCATATTCTTTCTCCGTGTTTGCATTATGTTTTTTGGGGCAATATAAATGATAAAAAAATTTTTGGATTTTAGACAAAAAAAGCAAATTAATGCCAAAAAAGGATCAAGGTAATCTACTTAAACAGCCTTGTCAAAGTTTTTTTTTTTTTTGGCTGTGTTTCATATTAAATTTTAACAAAATGAGTTGCAAATTCTTCAACCAAATAAATCCTGAAAACTCGTTGATAAAAAGAAAAATCCGGAAAACTCAATCACAAATCATTTTATAGTCATGATGTAAATTTCAAAAAATAAATGTCAAATCTCTAACTTAATGAATGAATTAACAAGCCTTTATTTTTAGTGTTCCATTTTAAATTTTGAAGGTTGAACTCATTAGTTAGTCTTCAATATATATTAAAAAAAATGTGTCAAAGCCCCGCAACTTGTTGAATGAACTAACAATTTTTTTTACCATGTACATCTCATATTAAATTTTGGAAGATCAATTGCAAATAATTCTATTATTAGCTTTAATTTTTAGATTGAAAAAGCTTAATTTTGTTCATTAAATTTTAGAGACACAATATCTATCTTTCACAAATTAAAACTAGCTATAAATAATTTGCAATTTACTTTTCAAATAAAAAATTAACATAAACATTGAAAAAATGTGCATGTTTGCTCATTTGTTAAATTGCAAGGATTTAACAACTATTTACAACAGACTAAAAAATGATTTGTAAATGAATTTCTAAAATTGATCATAAAATATTGACAAATATTTGAGTAATTTACTTTAAAATTATAATAATTTAAAGACCCTTAGGTGGCATTTTGAAATATTTTAGTTCTTTATCAGCATTAATTTGCACCTTAGCTGGAATTCAATTAAAATTAGTTAATACTTCTAAAATGTTAAAACTACTTTCAATAAAGTTCATTAATTAAAATAGATAGTTTAATTAGTTAAAAAATATTAAAGCAAATGAGATTTGGCTGGAAAATTAATATGTTAGACAAAGTTTTGTATTAAAAACCAAAAATAAGGGCTTTATAAGAACAACAGGAGGAGTATTATTAATTCCCAACCGAACTACTCCTTTTAGTCCTATTTATAAGTCACTTTCAATATGTTTAACTAGAACAAAAAAAAAAACCTTTAACTCCATTAACTTTGTCTTAAAATTTAACAAATTTTTACATTTATCCCTAATAAATATTCTTAAATTTCATTATTGATATTTGTATTCAAAGCGTTTAAAAAAGGCAAAAATATAAAAAGAGATATTGAAAATTGACAAGTGTTATATAAATAGGACCAAATTCTTTCTTCTCTCTCTGCCCTATAAATAGGACCAGAGGAGTAAATATTTACATGATCAACCAATTATTTCTAAAACTTAGTTTCTAACAGAAAAGAAGACCCAGAAAGAAAGAAAGAAACCTCAACACTGCTAACTAATCATGACAGAAAAATAAGTAAAATCATTAAAATAAGATATTTGCAGTTTAATTTTACAGACTGCATCAAACATTTCCAAGATCCACAACATTCATTTTATTTTTGTTTTATAATTTACCATACTTCCCTAGGAGACAGCCAAATGAAGCTTCCAAATGCTCAGGTTGCTTCTGATTGAATGCCACAAAGCATATTTGCAGGGACAGCCATGTCAATCAGTTTTGGATATGGCAGATTAAGATCTGTTGCAAGGACCAACTGTATCATTAGTACTTTACTTGAATAAAAAAAGCATGCTTTTAGGACTATGCAGTATCCACAGATATAAGTTTAAACAAAATTTAAAATATTTATATAGCACGTACTTGCCATTATATTCTTGAAAGTTTCCTGCAAAAGAAACATAGACACTATCAGTATTGAGACGTTGCTTGAATTGAAGCTAACCAAAACCTAAGAAACACCAATGCTAGCATGACTAGACATATTACTAGAAGTGTTTAACCATGTATTAGACAGGACTAGGCTTCATGTTAGAAGTGCATATGTTTCATAAACCAAAAATAAAATATAATTGAATTTTCAGTGTTATACTCTCTTTCTCCATTTTTTTAACCGCTCACAAGTATTCTCCTATTAGAAGCAATTATGTTTGAGGTACAATTGAACACTAAATTTAGGTATCTCTTTCAGTAGTAATTCAAACCTTGATTTGCCACGTTATGAGAAACTAACTATTTCTGAAAAACTCAACTCCTGTTGGTTACCCTCTTTCTCTATCTGTCACTAGTGTATACTTTTCTCATCAATATTACTAGATCTACTCTAATGACCTCATAAGAACGTTTCATCAGAATAAAAAAGGATATAAATCAACATTCAGAACTCATCATCCTATTTAACCAGATAGCATCTTCTAGTAACTGTCATGTCTTTGTAATCGTTATTTAATTTTCATATGTTTTACTTCGTGTTTTAAAGGATGAGCATGAGAGTTATTTTCTATCACCAAATTAACTGCTTTCATTTCACTTCTTGAACGTGCTCGGGGTGGCAGAACGCCAACCTAACGCTTCATTTTATTACTGTCATTTTCTTTCTTTTTGTCAGATTTATGACCTTCCATGCTGTATACCAAATGGGTCTTCTCACTGAATTACTCCATATTTTTGCCAAAAAGTGAAGACTAAATTCAACCTCCTCATCTAGAAGAATCATAACTTTGAAGAACTTTACCTTAAATTAACATCATTAACCATGGCACAACAGGGTTGCGGTAAACTGGAATACTGTATTACAATAAGCATTATAATTCACATGGATGTGTCTCCCGTTAAAGTCCCTTTGAGAATATTACTTCATAATTCACCCATAACACTTTCAACTAGTTGATTGAGTTCATTATAACATGAACAATTCATAAAAAATTACCTCATCCTTTGTGAGGCGCGAATTGCATTGCAACTCCTCCCCTACAGTGCTTACCTGAAACCAGAAGTTTGAGTAGCTTGCTAAAAATTAAGTAATGGAAAAGTGTAAGGGTCTCCTTAGTCCTTAGTCCTTACAGTGAATCCTTTGTAGTCATGAGCTGGATAGAGTAACGTATCCTTGGGCAATGTAAAAATCTGGTTCCAAAAAGATTGAATATGAGATTATACACAAATTCATTGAAAACGAAGTACCGTATTTTATTATACAGACTCATTTCTACTTGTCTGCTTAATGAAAGCTCGAGCTCTTGCCTGTGAATGCACCGATTTGTATAGCTGCTCTGAACTTCCACCCTATGTAGTAACGTAGTTGAAGGACACGATGTTAATATTCTTCATCGCTTAAGGATTGAAGAAGAAAATATCTTTCAAGAAAACTTGATCATAGCTTGTACCTGAAAATCTGTCCTTCCGCATCCGCGAATTAACAGAGCATCTCCGGTGAATGCCATCCTAGGTTGAGGCTGATCAGAAGCATCTCCTGTCACATAGGTAACGCAACCAACTGTATGGCCAGGAGTAGCACGAACCTACAGCAACAAAGATAATAATAAACAATACACATTAGTGTATAATATATGATTACATGTCACCCACAACCTAGTATAAAGGAAGACAAGAGCCTTTTGCCACAGCAAAATTAGAATAAAAAGCGATCATTTTATATCAACAACAATATGAATATAAAGTATAACATCTTTATTAAGTAACATTATTTACAAACTGTGATCAGCATGGCCTATAACTCAAATTTCGTAAATAGAAGGCCAACCTAGTGAATATATCAATATATAAAAAATAAAATTTACAACAACCTGCATTATTTACCAGCCATGAACAAGGCAACACATTCCTCATACTCCATGCAATGTATGGAAAAAAAATGTCCAGCTTAGCATAATGAATATCAAGGGAAAGTGATTTGCAATAATTTCCAGTCACTAGAATACTTCTCTTTAAAAATGCATTTACACCCCAAAAATTGAGCTGCATAGCTGGTTGTTTGCTGATCATTTGTCATTCAACATAATATGTGAAAGGAGAAACTTCGATTCAGCTTTGTGAAGTTCTTTAATAGATTTATGAAACATGAACCAGCCTTTAAAAAAAAAAAAAACAATAAAGACCATCAAGGTTAGTTCCAAAAAAGATCCACCTACTGGTTTTCTCTTCAAAGAATCTCAAAAATTTACTAAGTCTATTTTGTACAAAGACACCAAACCAGGAAAGGAGGCTGTAAATCCTACCTCCAGAAAGAGATCACCAAAACTGATTTTGTCACCATGCTCTACATACAGATCAGCTGTTGCACCACTGGCTCTTGAAATAATAGATTTTACATCTGGAACTTTGCTCTATACAAATGAGTGGTTAAAAATTTAACCACCCAGCAATTACAAAGTGTTAATAAACTCTAGCCAAAATAAATCCAGCAGCAGATCACATGGAGAAATTAAATGAACAAATCAAAAATTCAGCATCAGCACACCTTTATGATGCCAGTCCCTGTAACATGATCAGCATGTACATGGGTGTTCATGGCATATATAAGCTTTAATCCCAATTCTTGAATGAGGGATAAATCTCTATCCACTGTCGTATCTACTGGGTCAATCAACTTGACATTCAAAAATCTCCATTAATTATACAACAAATAAGCCTACAAATTCCCAATAATACAGCCCAAAATAGCCACCCCCACTCCCTTAACAACATAAATTCCAGAAAAAAATTCTGAGAATCTCCAGTAACCCAATTTACAACACAAACTGATGCAGAACGAGACTATAAGCAAGATAAAAGAATCCTATATGATTAAGAACTTACCACAGCCGGTTTAGTGGGGTGTAAAACGTCAGCGAGGAGATAAGTGTAGGTTGAGGATTCTTTCTCGAAAAGCTGACGGAACAAGAGCTTAGATGACTGAGACAAAGTCGAGTAAGAAGCCATTGATGATCTGAGCCTTGTAATTCCAGGAATTGCTCTAGAAATTGAGGTCAGAGGTAGAGTGGTGGAGGATTTCGAAGCAAGAAGAGAGACTCTGATGAGCTGAAAACGCTGCATTGAACGAAAAAGGAGTGAAAAACCGTAGATAAAGCAACAGGGTATTGCTAATTGCTGGTCATAAAAAACAAAAAGCAATCATAGAAGGACGTGGGTTTCGATCAAATTTGCATTGGCTGACTCCGCTTTGGAAGAAGATAATTGGAGGGAAGTCGTTTTGAAATGGCAGTGCTGTCATACCGTACTCAAAAAATCGTAATTCAACTAGAGATTGCCGGACGACTTTGCAGGCCTGACAGGAGCCTTTTTTTTTTTTTTTTTTGACCTGGACGACAGGGGCGATGAACACAATATATATATACATATATATATATTAATATAAATTTATTAATTATTGATCAACAGTGGTGGTTTGATGGGTACAGTGAAAGATTTAAAAAAACATACTAAGAGTACGGAAATATGATGTAATAAACATTAGTTAAATAGGTCACGTTAGACCAGGAATAAATAGATGTAATTATGACTTTATGAGCTTAAGTTTAGGTCTTTTTGTTAAACAATCAGGCCAGGCCTAAATTTAAACCGGCTAGGAAGGCTAATGCAGGCTTATTTATCAATTTTAATATTTTAATAATATTAAATATAATATAATATATACATAAATTTTACTTATATTAATATGAGGGAGGAAATTATACAGACTTATATCTATGATAATAGTTAATTAATATAGCATGAAATATATTTTTCTTTATTTTTTAGTTTAATTCCCAACTTAAAAAAATGAAATTGTAAACTAAATTAACACGGTTCATATTAATTATATTTTTATCTGTTACATATTATATTTACATAAATATATTTATACATTATATATAATATAAAAATATAATCAAGGAGGTTGGATAAGTCTACAAGCTTAGCTTTAAGTATACTCAATCATTCTAGTTCAAAATATAAGTAATTTTTTAAAAAAATTGAATCAAAATTAGTTGTGAGGTAATGTTTATATTTTGGACCAAAAGTAATATAGATCATCTTTGTTTATTAAAATAGGTAGCTGTAAGCCGTGACCTAGTCTTTTTGTTTAAATAGGCCTTTTGGCTTGTTTCTACTCCTAGGTAAGCATCAATTTATCAATTTGATTCTTAAATTTAGTTTTTATTATTTTTAAATTTATTCTAATTATCTATTTGATCAGAAAATAAGTTAGTAATATTAAAATTTATTGGCATAGATAATGATGTAATACTAATAAAAAAAATTGTAATTATTCAAGAGGGGAAAAAAATTACATATATATGTTTAGTCATCAATATATTTTATATATCAAAATAATTTAAGTGTCAGTTTATATTTCAAAATATAGAGTATTAGATTGATAAAATTTAAATTTGAGGACCATATTGTTCACTAACATAAATTTAAAGAATTAAAAATTTTATTATCTTTTTAAGAAAGCTACCGCCTTGCGGAACCCAACTAGCATCTAATTCAATAATATCATATATTATATAAAAAATATAAAAACTATTATCATTATATTCATTATTCACATTAACAATTATCAATAAATAATTATTATAAGTTGATAAATTATCAACATCAACAGATAACTCCAATTAAACTGATGCAACCATTTTTTTTTATTTTTTTACCAACATATTGCTCCGTTATTTTAAATTTTTTATTGCACATTATCTAACTTCGTTTATTCATTTAATATTTTTACATACTTTTTAAAAAATTAACATTTGGATAATGAATTGTAAGAAGTATTTAAATAATTACTCCCTCCATTTAAAAATATAAAATATTTTTTAAGAAATTAAGTGTTAAAAAATATAATATATTTTTAATCTTTTAAAGTGTAATCATTATCTTTTTAAAATGTTTTTATTAATGAATAATTTCATATTTATTGTAGAATATTTAATAGTTATAAATATAAAAAAATAAAATTAATTAAAAAATAAATAATTATTTTATTAAAAAATAAAATTTAATTAAAATTATTTTATATTTTTTTAGAGGGAGTACTTTTCACACATCACGGAGAAAAAATTGTTTATGATAATTTATGCCCCTCTGAATCTCTGATTAAATAAGCGCAAAAGTCAACATGTCATTATCCAAAACAAAAACAAAACAAGGAGACCTCCCGTTCCCAACGAACCAGCACACTGGATCGGAATCCGGAAACAGGGTGACTTGCTTTAATGTCCAGGCGTGGGAAAAAAAAAAAAAAGGATAATTCTAATAAGACATGACGTGATATGAATATGAATATACGATACCCTTCAATAAAAAAGTTAAAAATGAGACACTTTTTTTATTTTTTTTCTATTTTAATAAAATATATTCACTCTATTAAAAAATATAAAATATTTTTAATTAAATCTTACCTCTGATAAAGTAATTATCTACTTTTAAATTAATCTTATCTTTTCATATTTATTCTTATTAAACACTTTATAATAAATATAAAGTTACTATTAATAGGAGCACTTTTGAAAAAAAATAATAATTACACCTCAAAAGGTTAAAAATACCTTACATTATTTAACATTTAATTTTTTAAAAAAATATTTTACATTTTTAATGGAGGAGTATATAACCAACAAGCCCAGTATTTATAATTTATAAATAACATAACTCATTAATTGTTGTAAATTTGATTTTGATATATTACTATAAAAAGAAATTAACCTTTTGTATATTTGTTATTCTAAATTCTTAACTAAAATTGCGTGTATAAAAGGGTGAAAAAGATGATTTTGCCCTAAATTTTAGATATAGAAGTATGTGGGATTTCAAATTTTTTAATGTAAATAAAATTTTTAAAAAAATTAGTTAAAAAAATTTATTTAAATAATTACAAATTCAAAATTTTAATTATAAATAAGTGTTTAAATATTAAATATAATTTTTAAATTATAATAAAAATTTTATTTTTGTAATTGTTTGAATTGATATTTATAATTTATTTTGTAAAAAATTTTATTGAGAATCTAATTATAACTAATTTAATATTTTAAAATCTAACTGTCATCTCTTCATTTAAAAATCTCATACCATCCAATAAATTATAAGGTAATGTTTTTCAATTTAATATGTGCTTAATTTTCAATTTATATATGAAAAAACCTCATTTGAAATATAACTATTTGTTAGATTTAATAAAAGTACATTCATATATGATTTGACGATATTCTAAGGGATTATCCATGAGAGCCATGTAGAATGCCACATGGGATAAGATCAGATTGTCACATAAGACACAACATGGATTGCCATGTAATCCATGCAAGATGGGCCGTAGGGTGTCCGGTGAGGGGTCTCTCCTCCTTCTCTCATTTTGTCCTCATTTCTCCGATCTTCATTATTTATATCATTTTATTAAATAATTTTTTAATTATAAAATTAATAAAAGGTAAAGATTGGAAAAGTAGAGAAAAAAAGAAAAAAAAAAAAAAAAGATGACCCCCTCCCTATGTAAGGTGTCTCCTTTTTTGACTCTCTTTTTTTCCTATATTTCCTTGATTTGATGGTTTTTATTTATGAATAACATGATAAAGAGGAAAAATATTTAATGATTAAATTCATAGTAATTTTAATTTAAAACACAACAATAAGATTTTAATTTAAATAGTTTGAAAAAATATAATAGCATTTATTTTTACTAATAATGTAATGTATATTTTAATAAAAAAATTCCAATACCAATTGAGAGTAAATTGGTTAGGCAATAGACAGAATATTGAATGAATATTTTTTTTTTGAATTATAAGGCCACGGTAAAACTGTGCAAAAGATTAAGATTTAGTCATATCTAAAACTATGATGTTTCTACAATCATGCAGTGGCTCATCAAAAATCATAATATTAAAGGTATCATACGGAGGCCGGTGAGCTAAGAATCAGCACATCGATTAGTTTCTCTATGGACATAGTCAAAGGTGACTATCTAATCTCTCATAACAAGATCTCTAATCTTCTGATAATGTCATAATATGGGTGACTCTTAGAGTAGGTACGATTAATAAATGACAACGCCTCCATTGAATTAGAGTAAATATTGATTCTTGATAGTTTCATATTCCAGCAAAGTTGTAAGTCCCTCAAATATTCCCATGAGTTCAGCTGCTGTGCTAGGTTGATATTCAAGGAACTTGAAAAACCTTTAATCCAAGTGCCATTATCATTTCTGATGGTGCCTCCACAAGCTGTAGCATCAGTAATGTTGACAGAATCGTCAGTGTCAAGTCTAACCCATTCGAGTTTAGGTGGGCTCCATTTTCCTTCATCTGTAGAGTTGCTTTTGCCCAAGCAATTGATCTTGAATAAAAGCTTCAAGTCATTATTTATCTGTTAAGTGCTGGAGAAAAGACAATATCACTATTAGGGATATCATCTGTCGAGTATAATTTTTTGCATTTAACTTTTCAAATATTCCAGCAAGCTTGTGCAAAATGCTTCTGCCAAGGTGTTCTTCCTATTTTTAAGCTACCTACTTCGTTCTTTGCATTCCAGATTATCCAATTCTGCACATTAAAGGAGAAGAAAGTGTTAAGTCTCGTAGGTTTAACTAATTTTTTCTAGACTTCTTTGGCTTCTTCATAATCTCGTAAAATATGAATCGAGGAATTAAGGGAGTTACAACCAAATGGACAAAGATGTTGATAGAGAGCATTCTCAGATGTTTGCATGTATTGGACTGAAGACGATTTGAGGCAACTTTCTATAAAAAGTATTTTATTTTTTTATATGTAGGCCACTTTCAAATTTTAATCAATATATCAAAGTGGTGCTTATCTTTTTGAAAATCATGGCTTTGTAAGCAGATTTAACGGAAATTTTCCATCAAATGAGGGTCTCGAAATGAGAACATTTTCTTCACCTCATTGGTTAGAGGTTGCACAAGTAATATTTATTTAATTATATCGAAGTGGAGGTAATATTTAGAAGATCAATATTCCAACCCTGTAAATATTGAATGAATATTGAATTGCAAGTTGCGCTATGTAGTGTTGGATAAAAGCACACAAAATGAACAGTCAAATCAGGGGAAAGGAGAGAAACAGAAGGGCGTCACCCTGCACCTGCGTGACGCCCCTTGGGATGCCATACAAGCCGCCACCAGGATGCAATTGGAAATATGATGGCATGTCTTGGAGAAAGTGATTGAGAGCTCAAAATGCAGCCTCCAGCTTCCCACTGGCAAGGTACATTGAGGTAACGAGCATTGATTTCTAAACCTCACAACATCATTCACTTTTTTTTTCTAAATACATTTTTCTTTTTTCTTGAAAAAAATAATGTAACAATTTATAAATGCGAGGTTTCAAAAAAATTGTTATATAATTTCTTATAAAATTAACTCATTTCTCAAATTTTGTGCCACACGCAAGATACACATTTCTCAATTAATATGAGTTCAATCTATAATCAATAAGATCATGAAATCAAATCCTACTATCGATATAAGCACTTTGTTGATAGTTAATTCGTAAATATTTGTATAATTACTCTGAGCTGTCTCTTAACTCTAATAGCTTTCAAAACCCAACTCATTTTATTTTTTCATGAAAAAATAAAACAATTAAAGGGCAAGCACAAGTCAAATGGATGAGTTACCCTCAAACTGAGGCTTCATTGACTTTCGTTGACAAGCCTAAGATAACAGTTTGTGTCGCCATTATTATTAATGAAAAAATGGCTTTACAATGAAGCTACTTTTCACCAGTAATTCCAGTTCCTTTCAACTTATTCGACCATTTAATGAAAAACCAAAAGCATGCTTTTCTTCATTTGATTTCGTATACTTACAAGAATTCAAAATGAATAGAATATATACTTCCTAAAATCTTCCCTGTAGAATGTAAGGCACCAGTTGACTGTACAAGATCAGTATGAAAGTCGTCATCATCTTCTTCAAGATTTGGATTGCTTCTTTCTCCCTGCAATAATTGGTTGGATCTGCAAGTGCCTTTTGAATGCTTCATTGAAAAGGAAACGATTATGAAAGGCTTTAATAATTGGCAGCCAAGCCAAAATTGCAATAGGAGTAAACAGAATTACACCCATTCCATAATCATAAGCTCTAGCAAGTGCACGACCGAAGTCCCACACGCCTGTATGTTCTATCTTGGGCCTCACCGCTTGGGCAATCTGAACCAACCAAAGTATAGATCAGCTAATTTGTGTTAAAAGGACTCAATTCAATTTAGGCAGCTAAATGATATTATTGATTTGAGTTTTCAGGGTACTAGATTTTGGAATAGGGAGAATTACCAGTATCAAGCCCCAGGCAGTTGGCAGGAATGCCAAGCAGCAAACAAATAAGTCCAAAAGAGACAGTTCACATATAATGGAAAGGGTTATAATAATGGCAAGAACACCGATGAACAGGAACGCCTTGAAAAATCTGAATCCAAGCTGATAATTAGCACTGAATAATTGCCTTCCCATGTTCACAGCCTGCATAGATGTTAACATGTAATTAACATGTGACAAAGCAGCACTTACTATAACATAAACAAATTATTTAACGAAGTATTGTTCATATTCCAAAAGCAGAAGGTTCCTTAATAAAAGCCCTCACTGTTATCATACAAAGTTATGTTCTAAAATCATTGTCAAGACATGTTATTTAACAGAGTTATGTTGCAAAAATGGAAGAGGCAACTGTTAGAATTGCCCTAGATTGTGATCCATCAGCCATGGTGCTATATTGTACTGCAAACTACATCATGTTTGGATTCATTTTTTTGAGTCCCAGGTTTGAATTTGAATCCTTTCCCTCTTCACCAGAAGAATTCCTACAGTGAACTGAAACTTATAACTGATAAAGACAACGCACTTGGAGATCTTTGTTAACAATAATATCATCCAAAGAACAGGCTGAACCTTGTATGGCTTCAAGCCTTCAATTATAAAAACAAGGCTAATGACAACAACGGACCCAGGGTGAAAGCCAATAGAAGAAATTGAAGTTGAAGATGAATTTACCACGAAAACATAAGCATGAAAGATATAGAATCAAAGAAATGAATGATTGCTATGAACAAAAATTTAGTTCACTGGCATAGGTCAAAACAAAAAAAGGTCAACGCATGTCAAATTCAAAGTGATGTCCTGTTCACCACTGATGTGTCATGAGAATGCTTGTGATACATGAAAAGATATGCTTCTAACGGCCCAATCTTTTCACTAACAAGAACTTCTTAGAATGTGCTCGGGACAATAGAATCTACAGAAATATGCTAATTTAGTTTAGGATACTTGTTCCAGAAAATTAATAACTAAGCCAGTCACAAAATATGTTTTCCCTAGTAACTGGAGCTGGTTCGTTAAATATAACTTGTCAATCACGATAAGACTTTGTTGATAATGCATAACTTATCATAAATACTTGGATATAGACGAACAATAGTAAAATGATTCCAGAAGAATCATAAACAGAGATTACCTTCACTAATAGGAAAACTGCAAGAATTACAACCCACGAAAGCACATAAACCAGAAAATTCTTGCTATGTTGAGAGATGTCGAGGTGATAGACCAGGCCATACTGATAGATGAAAAATCGAAGAGAAAGCAGTATTTCCATCATCCTGGAACGGAGACCAGACTGTCGAAGATGGTCTTGCTCATCATCCCACCATGAATGCCAACTTTTATCCTGGTGTATTCCTATACCACCCTGTTGCCTGATCCATTTATTCCATTCTTTCCAGTCTTCAACTGTCTTGGTCCAGCTGAATCCGGAAGGGTTAAAAAGAAAAGGTGCACACAACCATGTCAATGACATGAACCAAATGGCATAAGTTATTAGCACATATGCCATGCTACTTTGGTAAGACTTCCTGAACATATTATAAACAATCAACAGAAGCATTAACTCAAACCCCTTGACAAAATGGCTTCTTGAATATAATCTGTAATTTTCAGTGAAGCTAGAATGGAACACAACAACTTTTCGCCCTGTGGGCCTGTACTTTGCACCCCCATGCAAGATTGTTCGGCCATAATAATGGGTCTTTGTTCCAAGGGAGAAAGTGAAGAAAACAGCGGCCAGCTGCAACTGCATGAGGACAAAATCTTTCACTGCTGTGAAGAAACCTTTCTCAAGGCCAATTTCCATCACCATAGGTAATCCTGTTAGAAGCCCAAGCTGTATAAATGACTCAGAGGCGAGAGCTGTTTCCAAGGATTGTACATTCTTGATTCGAGCTTCAATGATAAGTGCTCTTTCCAACCCACTAAGCACCAGGTATAGCTGCCCGTAGAGAAAATGTATATTCCTATCACTGAAATCTGTTGATCAATCCAACAGGAGTGTGAATTCACTTTTTATTTTTCCAATGAAAAAACTAGACTAATGAAAAACTCTTAAATTCAAATAACTAATTATTTGCAACAAATATATAGGTGATTGTTAGATGGCATTACCAGATTACTGAAGTAAAACCCAATGGTGGTGAAATAATATGATAGCATGCGAAAGAAATCGAATTGTTGCCCAAGGCGGAATACATCACGGCTTATAGTCTGCTCACTGTTTCCATTTGCCACCTTGGCTTCGAATTTTGAGATCTGGTTTAGGCCCACATCACGACCTTTGCCAACTTGCAAGTATTCATGATAGGAAATGCATCCCCTTCGCAAAGTAGAATTAAATCCTGCAATGAATAAGTAAAATGTAGTTTTCTCTTATAAGGATGAAAACATGTACTTGCTAGGAACACATAATTCATTAGAATATATTACTGTTACAGTAACCTACCAGCAAAAACATCCTCGCTCAAGTTAATTGTTTTTGATGCTTTGCTAATTCCCCCCCTGGTGATATGGAAAACTCTATCAAATACATCTGGATGGCCATAGTGGAACCTCACCCTGTACAAGATATTGATACGAAAGGAATGATAAATAAGCATTCTATATATGTAGTTAAGAAATACAAAATATACTATCGTATATTCTACTATCATGGAAAATGCCAGTACTTGTTTCTAGAACTAGCAAGAATCATCACTCAACAAGTAAATTAAAATGTTAAATCATGGGTTTCCCAACCTTCTGTGGACATATTCATTAGAAATGTAACATTCTGACCTGTATCTGCTTTCTTACCAAATAAATAATTGTGGGTTCAGAAATCCTCAATATTCTATGCACATAAAATAAAATCAAATATTAACTCTCATAATCACATCTAATCAAATCCCAGTATCTAAGGAGTAAATCTCTCTAATTTAAATATACATTAAATATTAGTTTCACTATTCTCACAATAATAATGCAATAGTACTACCTCAGAGGATTAGCCAGAATTCTTTGACCAATAGTAACAAAGCTGGTCTCTTGATATGACATGAACCATGCCAAAGAAGATACACTGCGCAAAATAAGAAAATAAAAGACATCTTATTAGTAACATCTTTGTAATTGGTGATTGATGTATTGGACATTTATTTGCAGCACAAATCTGCAAAAATAACTGCAGTGCTGATGACAAAATATTTAAGAATTCGAAATACCAATTTTTTTACAAAAGTCACATGATAAAACCAGTGGCTTGCTATATTACAAAATGAATGTGAATATGAATATTAGAAATGTAACTCTTTAATAGAAAAGAAAAATCATTGAGGAAAAATCAGAAGTGGAAGAATTATTAATTAATTATTCTTTTCTAGCATCTTTATTCCCTCAGGTATTTGGTCTTTCATATAACAAATCAGGGGAACTGGATTCAGCCACTTTTATTCATAAAATATAAACTGCTGGTCGTTTTCTTCATGTATGGAAGGAATATGAATCCATAATATACTTATGGTTACTTTCATTACTACTATTATTGTTAATTTTTAATTGCAAAGACCTTATTCAGTTTTTTTCCCCCCCAACAAAGTGAGATAAGCCGAGTAATTTTATTTTCTAGGGTGCAGAGGGATAACCTTCCAGTAAAAATGTGTTCCCTTAAACCAAGTATTGTAGGTGGGCGCCGCCCTTGGCACCGAAAGAATTCTTGGAGAAGATTTCTCATTTTTAGTGCTTCTTCTAAGTAATTATCCTGTAAAGAAAAATACTTCGTAAGAATATGGAGGAAAAGATTAACCTGTGCATTGATCGAAAACAAACCTACTTGGTTCATATCAATTGTTTGAAGGGCTTCACCACGAGTAAATATTATGGCATGATTCTGATTTTCCGGCTTCCCTTCTCCAATATTTGGTGGACCAGGAAGCTTTATGCGATATATCACCTATGAAACACATGCGACTAGCTCATCAAGATTAATGATGTAATTAAGTACCACTATGCAATATCTGTAAAAATAAATGTAAAAATGTGTTAACAGCGAAGCTGAAATCAGGCTTTTGATTTGATACATAATTAAAATTGATAATTAACCTTTGAGATATTGATAAAACCATTAATATTTTTCCCCAATAGTTTAGTCAATATGGTAGCTGGTTCTTTGACATGGTAACAGTAACAAGAAACCTTATTCCATTAGGTGGGGTTAGGGTTAGTTACATAGATTAAATTACGCCAATTTACTCTACCATCACCCCACCCTTTAGATATATCATTTACCAAAAAGTCTCGTTTGATAACTTCCTTGAATGTTCTTCTCAATCTCCTTTTACTTCTCTTCATAGGACTCACTACCATTTGTTCAACCCTCTTTATCAGGACTTCCTAAAATTTTCTTTGTACATGTCCAAACTACTTTAAAAGATTTTCTATCAACTTCTCAATAGACAACACTCCAACTTTTCCTCTTATATGTTCATTTTGAATCTTATCTTTTCTTATATGATCACACATATCTCAACATTCTTATCTTTGACACCCAAAATTTTTGTTCTTTTTATTCCTTTAGTGCGCAGCATTCATTATCATATAGTATCACCAATCATATAATAGTATGATAAAACTTCCCTTTAAGCTTGTTAGGTAACTTTTGATCACATATGCTCTTGATGTTTTTCTCCATTTTAACCACCCAACTTGTATCCTATTCATAACACCCCCATCAATTTCATTGTCATTCTAAAGAAATTTATGCTTTATAGTTCTTGTCATTTTGGATTCCTTCTTTCCAGATCTAAATAGTTTTTGTGAATTTGTTTAGTAGGCCAAAAGTGTAGCAAGAGAACTTATTTGGAAGGATGACCTAACACAAACTGATTTGAGCCTCTTTTTTCCCTTTGATTTTCTGATTTATGACTTAAGCATCACTAATTGCATCAAAAAGAAGATTTCACCTCTCAAACGTTTGATGAAGCAGTATGATTAAGACTAATTTAAATTCTTAATAAAAACACTTCTGTATCTAGCATGATCTTTTAGTAATAAGATTTGCTCACAATTCTATTTGACACTGTAAAATAATCCATTACCTGTTCATAACCATTGACAACTTTAACCAGTTTAGATGAATACACTTTATGAGGCCTTCCCTGAAAAAACTCCTCCTCTTCATCAACATAAGCAACACGAAGAGATGGATATCTGCAAAAACATGCAAAGGGATTATTGTCTGTTTATTCTTTTACAAAATGTAATCAGTGTTCTCTTTCCTTGTAAGACCAACTTTATCATCAAGTCAATTATATCTTGAGCGTGGGGATCTGCTGCAGCCCTTTGTGATGCAAACGATTGACAGGAAATGACAAAGGTGTATTTCATGTCGGCTAGTGCTTCTAGATGAGCAAATAATGTACTGTTACTTCTTTCAGCAGTTTCATAGCCCTCAAGAATATCTGCATTAACATAGTCAGCCATTATCAATTGACTTTGTTTAATCTTCTCTGTTTTTTTTTTTTAAATAAAATCCAACTATGGCAAAGAGACTCAGATGCTGGATTCCACTGCACCATAACAATAACCAAATACCATAGAATAATGTTTCAGGTATCAGATACAAACCTTCATCCTCAGCCATGTCAAGAAATGCTTGTAATTTTAAGGCTTCTCTGTAGTACATAATCCCTCTAGCTGTTACAAGCATGGTTAAATGATCACATAATGTGTCACAACAACATCAACATCTAATTTTGGAATATTGCATCATCGTTACCTGTTCTACCCAGAGTCTGTCCCCGGAATGAAGCCCACTGTCTAAGTTCCTCTTTCTTTTGACCATCGTTTAAACTTTCAAGATTTTCACAACCAACACGTTCCAGAAAGTTTTTCCACTCATCTAACAAAATGGATGCACAAGATAAGAACTACGTACAAGTAGAATGTTCGAAAATTAAATTCACATTTTCTAGTAACCTGGATATATCTTTTGCATGTAAAAGATGATGGAGACCTCTTCCTGACTTGAATGAAGCTCCTCCAGGGAAAAATTAATATCCTCGATGTAGTGAGGAGTTATGACACTAGCAACCACAATTGAGATAGTTTAAGATAAAATTACTGTACTACAATAATATTCATCGTGTATTTTTATTCATAAATTAATATCAATCATCCTGATATGATTTTAAAAATCTGAAATGTTGCCCATCTTAGTTTAGTGTATCTATCTCTGTCAATCAATCTTAGAAGTTCCAAGCATGTATCAGATAATGATTTGTGAATAAGAATATTGCTGTAGGAAATTAACATTTGATATTCCTTCTGTTTCAATCCTCTTGTTTAAGGTTTTGCACATAGATTACGAAATCATTAATTAATGTAAAGCATTACTCCACATGGACTAACATACCCTAATTTAATACAATAGTGTAGAGAGAGAATGAGACAGAATTGTAGGTAGTTGAATGAGGGTATAGTTGGAAAAAAACACAATAAGTCAAGCATTGAAAATCTAAAACAACAATAGTTTTGAAACAAGACTAAAAACTTAAAACAACAAAGGAATTGAAACGGAAGGAGTATGAAACTAAACAACAGCTACAGGAGAATCATCATGAGTTTTCACTTTTCAACCGGTGCATTGTATGCCAGAATATGAACACCAAACAAGTATCCATATAGATAGTTAAGGTGGGTGGAGAATTGGGTAGACATTTAAGGTTCAAGTCATAATAATGATTTCTGACATACCCAAATAAATTTCTACGGACAAAACTTTTAGCTATTCATCTCTTTTTCATTTTTCTGAATCATTTGCAATGATACCTTTTTATTAGTGATGTGAGTTTAAGATCTTGTCATTCATTCCCAACTTGTGTAACCTGATGTTGTGCTAACAAGATACACTATACATTAATTTCACACTCTTCTCAATATATCAATTGTTTAACCTTGTTTTGACAAGTTCACTACCTTTAAATGCATACTGTACAGAAAGACTTCTTTACGTTCATGAGACACGTTCATCAGCCAGGAAGTTTGCAAAAAACTAAAATATTATTGGGAAAAAATGGTTTCAAATATAGAGACAACAAAGAGAGGAAAAAGAATTTCACCAAAAAAAGAAAAAAAGAAGAAAAGAAAAGAAATAGAATCAATTACAAGTTGAACTATATCGCCAGTTTCTTTCTTTTCTTTGATACTCAAAACTTCATGAAAAATTCTACAACAGATTTATCATTTTGCCACAATGCAAAACCTTTTTTTTTCAAAGCTAGTCTTTATTTTTAGTGTCATTCGTGGTTGAATACTAACAGAATTAACAATGTATGCAACACCATGGCAGAATGAAGTTTCAGATATTTCAAAATGAAATGTAAAATTCATGAATTTATAATTGACCTGAATGACAGCATGTTGCGTACTTTAGGAGCATCAGGCATGTCTGCAAACAGAGAAGTAGCAAAGAATGATATGCGCCTACGAGCCTCCAAGTTTTCTGGTACATCCATTGCTGTATCTTTGACAGTAAGCAACAAATGAAAACGCTTGATCTGCCATGGACAAGTTGATCACATCATTTCAACAAAAGTAGTTTCCATATAACTATTAGCTACTTAATATACATTTGCATACATCCACTGTTTATTCATTTATGAGTAGTGGGGCGCACAAGTGACTACATATACACATGCTGACAGTTTTTCATGATCTGAATTGCTAACTTTGACTTCCGAGAAAAAAGGCATGTAACCAGCTCACAGTGAAAGGCAAATACAAAGCATTAGAGGATAACATTCTCACCTTTTCAATTAAAGGACCACTTTCTGGTAAAGGGAAATGGATAGAATTCTCATTGGCAAATAATAATGGTTCAATATCTGTAGAGAATGTGATGAAATCGCTCCAACTTGGTGGAGGAGGACACTCTAGCATATCCAGTATTTTGCTGCACAAATAGAAAAATTTTAAAACTGAACTTAGCAGTGTGAGAAAGGACAACAGAGTCTTTAGCACCAATACCTCGAATCAACCATCATATCATTGGTTACCATCTCACACATATCTTGAAGAGCCTTCACAACTTTGCACCGGTGGCTGTTATCCCCCTCAATCTTACAATGTTTGAAATCAAAGTAATTAGAACTTGAATTTACCAATCAATAGTATGTGTCAGAATAAATTTCAAAGCCCTTTCCTTAGGAAAAAATTACCAGAAGTTCAGCTAGCTCAATTATTTTAACTTGTAGAGCTGGAAGCATTTTCATCTTGAAGTTTTTAAGAAGAGTCGATACATCAATATATTCTTCAATTTCATTTAGTATCCCGCATATGATCCTAAATATGAATAAACGACCACAAGATCAACACAAATGTGAAAGTTAGTTGGTTAAAGGCAATCTAGTAAATAACAGCACTCTACAGCATAAAATAGTAGCTGATATTAAGGTTGTAAACACTGAATATATTGATATTTCATCTTTTACCTTTTCTCCAGGTTGCCCACAACAAGAATTTCAAGGACATATTTCAATAACTCATAGCACTCCTTAACAGCATAAGACATGTACTTGTCCTTTTTAATCTTTCTAAGAAGAATCTCATCCTTTCCCTCAAAATCTTTAGCAATGCTCAAAGCTGTAGAAAACTAGAACATGGCAAGAAGAATTTTATTATTGAATAAAAGATATACATTCAATATTACCCAAAAAAAAGATATATTGTTCAGGTTAAGCTTACATTACCTTATTTGCTAAGAGAAAAACTGGCCAGCGAATGCGAACTTGTTTAGAGAATAACTCTGAAGACATAGGCATCATCATCAAATCCATCTCTCTGTTGAAAAAACATTGTCAGATTTTACTAGATAGCCATGAAAGAGAGATGTTAACAACATCACTTGTTACCAATCAAGTCATCACCTATTACTAATCAAGTCCTCCAGACGAAGATGGCTTATAATTTGATTCCATACTGCTACAAACTTTGGAATGGCATTCTTTTCAAGGGGCACCTGTGGCACAACAAAATAGTCAATGTAAGAATGTAAAATTTGTGAATATAATCTTATAGCGGCATTGCTAGTTTAGAACACACCTTTTGAAACATATTGCTTAAAAAGCCTTTTCTTTTCTTTCGACCAGTTCTTGATGGTGGGATCAAACAGACATTAAATGCAGCAGGCAAGGAGTAAAATCTACTTCTCAGCATTCCAAGTGTTCTTATCTATTTTTGAAGAAGAGATGAGCCACCTATTGCGTTTATTTGAGGAAAGAAGGAACAAAAGAAAGGTATATCTTACCTCACCAAGGTGATGCAAGATGCCATAAAGTCCACCAAATATGGTACAGAAAACAGAATACCAAATTTGCGTGTCCATGAAATAAACCTGTTACATAAATAGACTAGATAAGCATACATTGTCCATCAAAATGCTTTTGTTGAAGAAAGAATTATTTCACTGGGAAATTTATCTAATCTATAACAATAGATCATCACTTATTTACATTGATACTTCAAATTATTATACTTTTTGCTCAGGAGTAAGGGAGGAAATTTTAAAGGAGGAGGTGGATAGAGATGAGGATACAATATGATCCCGAGCAGATAAACAAAAAGAAAACAAAGAGCCAAAAATAAACTCCTTTCCAAAAACTATTAGTAGAGCTTCAATGAAAGGAAAAGGGCATAACCCAGCATATATGTAAGGCCAAAGACAGTACACAACCTTAAAAATACAGGCAGCCCATTCCAACCAAATACACTAAAGACAAACATGAACCACATGCTGATATTAAGCTATAACATAACACCTACACTTGGAACCATATCATGTCCAGTGTTTATTTAACACTCATTAGATATGATAAAAATACTTCAAATTACATTTAAACAATATATCTTATTTCAAATCAAAGTGGAGCATGTTTTGAATATGTGATTCAGACTCACGATTATTATAGGAGTCCAGACAGCCACAATTGCACCAGCATTACTTTGACTGTAGCACAAGAACAACTGTTAGAGATGTTAACTCATTAATTATAAAGCAATCCAAGCACATTTACATATTCAGCATACCTTTTGGGAAAAGCTCGTGCCAATCATACTTTCTTACACCAATCTTCATAATTTCTCGCGTGGGTGCTATGAGTGGTTTTATCTGCATATATTTTTAAGAGTAACTTCAGTTGCTGTGCATGTGTTTGTTTCATGTTATAAGCAAAGTCAGAATTTTGAAAAAGAGAAAAGAAGAAAAGAAAGTATCAGTTATTAATTCTGTTAGTGAATTTCCTTATTATGAAACTAATATGCCTAATCAAGGTCTCTTTCTGATAGAATGAATAATGTCAAGGCCTTGAAACATAGCATAACTCTCGCATGTTCCTTACATGAAAGCCCTTTAAGGTTAAATGTACATGAAGTCCATATATTGGTTTTAATTAATATAACAGAGAAACTTTAAATATATATATATATATATATATATATAGAAGATCAGCAATTCTCCTTGAACAAAATGAAAGATATCAAAGAAGGGCCAAAGGAATGAAAAAGAAGGATCTCTCCAATGCCTTAACACATTCTGGCTGCTAGGATCTGTATGTTTTTCTGTTAATTTCGACTTTAGGATACCCTTAGCCTTGAATGAGCAATTTTAACCCGTGGCATTCAGGTTTGAATAAATTCCTCCATACTCATATTATTAAAAGAACAAGTTCATCAGTTTTGCTCACTTCTCCATAATATCATACATATTAATGAAGCCATTGCTTCTGCATGCTTCAAATTAAGCTGACAACTTAATACAAAGCAACATGTCAACTTCATCTGGTTAACATAATAACTGCCTGTGATTTGTGAAACATTCTGACTGATTAGACTCCAACGGACAATCAAGTTTCAAAATACTAGATGATCTTGAAGGGAAATATATGTTTGTGAAATTGTAATATGTATTTTTTAAAATGGTATTCATATGTCATGCTGATTATTTATTATCAAACTGCTATAAGACCGATGACATTATATAGTAGTGAATGTGTGGCATTGAAAGGGCAACAAAAGCCAAAAAAAAAAAAATAGAGTAGTAAAGATAACAATGTTGTGATAGATGTGTAGTCATATAAGAAAAGACAAGATCCATAATGATTTTATAAAAATAAAAGTTGCCATGGCATATATCAAGAAAAAAGGGCACGAAATTGTCTAAAGTAATTCAAACATGTGTAAAGAAAGCCAATGGAAGTGCCAATAAGGAGGATTGATCAAATGGTTTAGCCTTGTAAAGAAATGTAGAGGAAGACCAAGAAAGACACTCAAAAAAGGTATCAACTGGGATCTATTGGTGAATGCCATATTTGAGGAATTGTTGTTGATAGAACACAATGGCATCATTTAGATCATGTAGACAGCCTCACTTAATAGGATAAAGACTTGTTGTTGTTCTATTTCTTAAGAGGAACAATTATACAGTCAACTCTATATGATACTTAATTAAAACCTAAATGATGTATAAATACAAAAATTACAACAGAATAAATTATGCATTTTCTTCCCTTTTTGAATGCAAAACCTCTTAGCTTTGTATGCATACTTACAAGCCCATATATGAACATTATTGTCATAAAATTTCATCAAAAGGGCCTATAACCTCACCTATCAATACATTGTAGGAAGATTTTATCAATATGCTCTAATTCTAAGCAAATGGATTGTCCACATGACTAAGGATTCAATCATTCTATTTGCTTATCCAAGGAAAACTCCATAGTTAAAATCCACTTAGTACTTGCCTCAAAACAGTAGCTGAACAGAAATTTAGTAGATAGCACCAATATCCAGAATAACGTATACCTATATCAGAAGAATAAATAAAGACATCAATTAGCATATGTTTACAGAAGAATATAATAAAAAGGAAAATTTACAATTAAACAAGGTATTAGGATATACTTCAACACTGAAACTTGGTTTTCTTGCATCCCTCGTCCAACATAAATTCTGGGCTGTAAAATGATTACATGTGACAATCAAGTCACCGCACTTAAACCCAGTGAAAGAATATCAGAGTAACATAGGCACATGCAAGTATAAATTGAAGGAAAAGCAATTGCATTGGTGAACCCTAATGCTGACCTATGTTGCATTGGCATGGGATATGGGTATCGCATATAATATACATATATATATATATATATAATAAAGAAAATTCATAATATAAAACAATTCTTACAACAAAAAAATAAATTATGAACCTCCTATAATTATAATCACCAAAATAATAACCCAACTATCTTAATATGATCTCAAAGTTCATATATGCTTATTAAAGTAGTACGAGCATGTATGCTAGTATTATGTTTCTCATGCTTCTTTTAAGACTAAATCCTAAACCCATTCTTAATAACACTGCCTGGTAGGCATTATGGAGTACCTTAAGAGTACTCCAACCTGGTAAAAGTACTGCTTAAATCTAGGAGCATCCATGCTTCATGGATGCTGACAAAAAAGCAATGTGCAAAGAATAGAATGCAGCCCCAAATCAAGAAAAAGAAAGAATGACTAATGCCAAAATCAAAACATCTTCATTAAGATATAAGAGATTGATATGAAAAATAAACATACTTCATATTTTTTGATAGGATTAACAAAGCATCAAATTTCAAATATTAAATAAATTTTGTCATTGAATTAAACTTTTAGATTACATTTCAAAAAACTTCTGAATGCAGGTCTAAAGGGACAGAACAGCAAAGCAAAGACAAATAAATAGTGATAGCCATGCTTAAGCACATTCAATTTTTTCCGTTTGTCCCCAGATGCACTGTCTTCCGCTGATCTCAACAGTTATCAGGGATACTTTGTTATTGCATTTTTATCTCCAATTTGCTTCCTTCAAAAGTGCATCATACTCATCATATTAAAAATAATTTAAAATTATCCACAAAAACAAAAGAACAATCATAATTTAAATTAATTACTATCAAGTAATGGAAAAATCATTCATCTTTAATCATATTAATCAGGTTGGCTACTTTTTTTCTCCAAAAAGAGTAACCGATGCCCAAGAAGAGAAACAAAGCCTGCAAGTGGAACATAATATCTGTAATGATCATTACAACCTATTTTCATGGCATAAAAGACGATTGTATCATAATGCAGATAGGGAATACGTCCAACAATGTCTACCAAGTTTCATATACCGACGGAAAGCATGCTAAACATTATGGATAAGTTACCTGCGTCCACCATGACAAAAATCTGCATATCTGATTATTAGAGACCTCAATATGCTTGGCAATAGCAGGGACAAAAAACAAAACGATTTCAACCGCATTAGTCATCAAGTATATAGCAGACGCAGTCATATAAGAAGTGAAACACCATTCCTCAACCAAGCTCCCATATTGTGTGGAATAGCAAGTATATTTTCCTCTGGAATTAGCGTAACACACAGGAAGAGTAATAGTCCAGATCAGGGCAAGAACCAGTTTTGTCAGAAGTTTCATTTTTTGAGACTGGTCCATTGTTAGTCTGGCTTTCCATGTAAAGATGATGTCCATAATTGCTGCAAAAAAGACGATTTTTCTTTTTTGAATTATTTGAATTTTATTTTGAAGCAGGAAGGAGGGAGAACATATTAACTATCACTAATGTTTAGAAAATGAATATGAAAACTTGGAAATAGTGAATCTCAAATTAGAAAGGTAACTTTCCCTCTTTTGCTTCAATATCCCTAAAAGGATATTTAAATTTAAATCATATTTAGCCCACCCAAAAAATGGCTTCTTTTTTTCAGAAAAACAGCTTCAATTTTTCACTCTGGCAAGGAGAAAAAATCAAGCTTCAAGATTGTTTTAAGTGATGGCAAATTGTACTGGGGAGGGATCAGAAAATTGGAGTCTCTCGTTTAAAGCAACATCAGAAGAAAAATAGTTCTCTTCCAGACACGCATATCCTTGCTGAAAAATAATAATAATAATAATAATAATAATAATAAACCAACTTAACTTCATGTTAAAGGAACAAAATTTAACTACCAAGTTTCTAAAACACCGCAATAATGTGAGAAGAAGAAAATATAAACCAGAACATTGCATGCAATAGTCCTTACTATATTTTGGTTAGTCACCAATTAAGACAGACCACCAACCAACATAGAAAGAAACCGTTCACATGAAACTATAATAATTTTAAACGCCATTCTGAATTTTTTAGAGTTAACTGAAGAAAAAAAGTTTGCATTTTTCTATGATAAATAAAATTAAAAACAGAAAGATACTGTGGGGTGAAAGCCAACCAAACAAGCATAAAGAGAGTTTTCCTGGTATGAAGAACCATATACATGTCCTTTTTGCCATCTGCCATGTGGCAAGCTATTAATAACAAAGCAGGGAATAAACACTCAACAAGTCCACTACCAAGAGCAAAACCAAAAAAGACTGAAATTGCAAAGGTCTAATGAATCAAAACTAATTGAGTGATGGAAGAGTATGGCTCCATCTGTCTAGCATTGAAATGTTGGAGAAGGACCACCGTCTTTATTTATAATTAAAATATTTCTAATTATTGAAAATCCAATGGAAGGTCACTCATGAATTTAAGGAAAGTTGGTTGTGAAATTAAGGAAGAATACTTGTGAATATATGGAAAGTCAATTGTGAATGGACAGAAAATTTCGTTAATACATATATCGTTCCTTGTAACTTTAAGGATAGCCACTCATGAATTTTAGAAAAGTTACTTGTGAATTTATGGAAAGTCAGTTGTGAATGGATATTTAAAAACATGAGAGGGTTCCTAAATCATTGATTTACAGTTAAGATTATTCATATCTATTCACAACTACCGTTCCATATATTCACAAGTGACATTCTGAAAATTCACAACTAATTGTCCATAAATCACAAGTGATGCATAAATTCACAAAACTATATATTCACATCTGAATTTTCTAAAATTCACTAGTGACCTTCCTAAATTTAAGAGTGACTATCCTTAAATTCACAAGTGACAAAACATAAATTCATAAAACTATCTATCCATTCACAATTGACTTTCCATTGATTCACAAGTAATATTACTTAAATTCACAACTAACTTTACTTAAATTCACAAGTCACATTCCATTAGTTATTTTAATAAGGACTTAAGAACTTAATAATTTTGAAATTTTGAATCCGAGTTAAGGACTATGGTCCTTTATTGGATAAAAAAAATGAAATTTGTGAGGTGGGATTCATTATTGCCACTTGGGAATTCACTAACCCAACTTGAAAAATTTGTAATGCATATTGTGAAAACATGAAACCCCACTTGGAAATGGAATGTTTAAAAAAGCGCCACATGGAAATTCACTAACTAGACTTGGAAAATTTCTAACGTATATTGTGAAAACATGAAACTTCACTTGGGAATCGATTGTTTAATAAAAACACCAATTTAGATAAGTCACTTTTTATTAATGATTCTCAAGTGGGGTTTCATTTTTTCACAATATACGTTAGAAATTTTTTTCAAGTCTAGTTAGTGAATTCCCAAATGACGCTTTTTGTTAAACATTTCCAAGTGGGGTTCATGTTTTCACAATTACGTTAGTATTTTCTCAAGTGGGGTAGTGAATTCCCAGTCGCGTTAGTGAATCCCACCTACACAACATTTTATTTTTTTTATCACATTAAGGACCATGGTCCTTAACTCGGATTTCAAAATTTCACGGTCCATAATTGGGATTAATGTTCTTAACGGTCCTTAATTGTCATTCTCCCTTTTAATAAACTACTTATTTTTAATTACAAATAAAGACCATCATCCTTCCATGACATCGATATTTATGTCTTCAATTGTCTAATGCCTTCACACGGTTTTATATTGTCATTTTCCAAAGGGGAAAGGTCAACTATCCTGTAGCATCAAAGATCTATTGATATCTGAATTGAAGGGAGAGGAGAGAGAATGAAAGGGCAGGCTAGGTCTTTAAAGCCGTTTCTGATAAGCAACCTTCTGAAATCATCAAACAAGCATGCAAAAAAACAGTTTATTCTGGTGCGCTTAAGCGTATAGAGCATGCAGAAATTTCTGTTTATACAATAAATCATTTATCATAACACCTTGTTTGGCTTGGGGTTTTCTACAGGGAGGGGAGGGGATGGGATTTGGTTTAGAAATTTTTAAGAAGGGGACTCATTTGGCTAAGAAAAACTTTAAGGACCCTCCCTCCAAAACGGGGTATTATTTAGAAAGGCTGTAGATAAATTATGTTTTGACAAATGAGCCTTGCACAAATTTTAAAATTCCTTTTTACCATATTCAAATATCACGCCTTAATCCCCCATCTCTCTCAGCGCTTGCTTCTGTCATCTCTGCCTCTCATGTGTATCTTGCCTCTGTCATCTTTCCAAGTTTGCTCACCGCCTTTGCCACCCCAACATTACATCATAAATAATTAAACAAATAATTTTTATAAATAATAGATGTAAAATAGATTTTATTATTATGTAAGGTGAAAGTTGATAAACTGTAGTATACTATTTAAGTAAAAAGGACCAAAAAAGAAAACTCATAGGAGTATAATAGTCAACTTATATTATCTCCCTCTCCTCCTAAACTAAAACAAAGAATCATTAAATTCCCTCATCTCCCCTCCATTCAATCAAGCAAGCAAGAGATCATTAAAATCCCTCCCCACCCCACCCTCCATTGAAGCAAACACGACATAAAGGATTGAAGGGTCACAAAATGCAAGAGGATAATAGGACTATAACAGTAAAATGAAAAAAAAAAACAAACCAAATTGAAAATTTTTAATAAAAGATTAATCAGTGACCCAAAAAAATGAAAAGAATTACACTAAGTTCAGTATATCCTTAATGCTATTTATTAAATTAAATTAGTTATATGCATGTTAATGACTACATGAGCAAAACATACCTTGAATGAGTTTAAGAAAAGCAGATGTAATAAAGATGCTGAAACATCCTCAAATACTGTGGCATCAAATAACTGAAGAGGAGATCCCAAGTCATGACAAGCCACTATTATTATTGCCTAGGAAATGACAGAATAAACATGTCCCAAAGTCAATGATTTTTATCATAAAGAGAAGAAAATTGCAAAGAATCTGCGTTGGAATTTGAGCATACCTGAAGGGAGAGAATAAAAAAACTCCACATTCTCTCAAAGGTTCTAAAAATCTGCCAAAATGAACGAAATCTCTACAAAATTTGTCTTCCCCAGCCATTGTGGTTCAGGCATTCATCAGATTTGTCCTGTAAAAGGAGGACATAGGATTAAATAGTATAAAGTTCTTTAAACAGCCTGAAGTCTCTTAAGCATATGCTTCAAAAGAAAACCAAAGAAAAATGCCAATGCAGCTTATTTTTTATTAAAAAAAAAAATTTGTGTAGTGCTCCTAAATTAGCAATTAGTAAGTGAAATTGTTATGACTTCAGTGACAAATGAGATGACATCATGACAAGGTCTAACTTGCAATTTAGTAGGACATGCTCAACATCATATCTCTAGTTTTAGATTCTCATGATTATAGTGCCACATAGTGAAGTTTACTTGATAAAATGCATATTATGTCAGGGAATGAATGAACGCTAAAAAATACACCATTTTGTAAGATGTATTCAACATGCAAGAAACCCATGCTTCAAACTATAATGCTTCAGCTCATGAAGGCTCCAATATGATTTGAACAGACTTCAATACATTCATCATCTTACGCAAAGTAAACTTCAGCAGAAGATGCCAATTCATAGTCTTAGGTGGAATTAGGGACCTGACCAGGAAAGAAAGAAAAGCTATGCTATATCAAGGAATACCATAAGTTAAAAGTCAGCATGCAATTTCAGTGATTTAATTTCAATTTGTTTTAACATCACTGAGGCAATGTCTGAAACAAATTTCCTACGATAATATTATAGGCAGAATCACCTCTGATTCTTCACCCTTATTGTCTCTCTTTTTTCTTTCTTTTATTTTGTCCGGTGATTGAAATAGCATTCTTGACATCAGATTTTTTTGGTGGTTGAACACGGAAGAAAACATGGTCCAGACGCATGGGCCAACCAATACTGAAACATTCAGGAGACCTGTTCAATATAAAAACAGCTGTAAGAACTTCAGGATATGAAAACTTGCTTCTGCAGTTAAAAGCAATAGGAAAAAACATATAGTTTCAAGATGAATTCACCAGAAATACTCATTCAGATTCATCATAGTTTCTCCACAAAGAATGGTCAGCTGTCCCTCCTTTTGCTTTTTTCAGCTTCCTTTAGTTTGGAAACAAGTTAATTATATTGAAGTAAAAAGCTCAAAAGTTTTAAAAAAAAAAAAAAAAGAAAGGATGAAATGAGCTTGCACCTTCTCTATTAACTTTGTATATGGGGGTGATAACACTGTTAAGGAAAGATTCAGGTTCTCCTCCATATGCAGGCATGACCTTTTCCCATGTTGTCAAGCTAACAGTACCACTTAAAATGCCATGTAATTCATATGCCATCTTTTAAAAGAAGAGGGAGGATATTAAGAAAGAGAAGATTCAGAAAGAATAGATCTTCAACAATTTCAATCCATGAGGACAATTGAGAAATTTATAGGTGGTTTGAAATGCTAAAATTTTCAAAATCTAACCCTGGTACTAAAGAAACGAGCAAAAGTTAGTCGTATAATCTAACAGAGGTTGATAGTTTTGACACACCTGATGAAAGATATAGCAGAGACATTTCTGGCATGAATCGCAGATTGCAGCCTCCCCCCATATGAGAAGGTAAAGCCCTATGTACAAAATTTTATATGTTGGGCTTCTTGTTTCACATAAGGTAAGCTGCAAGGCAAGTAACAGACTTGCTATAGGATCGAAAGGAATGTTAAGAGAATAACAGTTCAAACAAAAATAATAAAGGAGTAATGAAGTGGAAGAAGCACAGAAGTATACCACTCTACTTGTTCACACAAAGAGAGCTGCTCCCCCCTTCCCCCAAAAGAAAAAAAAAACACCAAAAAAGGAAGGAAAAGAGAAGAGAAGAAAAAGGGGAAAAAAATCTACGAAAGCGACAAGAGATAGATAAAATAACATAACCGGATATTGCTTTTTCGTCCAAAAATTTGCACCAGTTTGTATAATTTTAAAAAACTTCCTCATCAATTCATCTACAACATCCTTCACCTAATGATATGAGAAAAGTGACATGTTACTGAGTCAAAATTTGATGTAGGAAAGCAAGAAGATGCATACACTATCACCAACGCCACCTTCAAAATTGACACCTGTTTTTGCACTTGCCGAGTCTGCATGTTGGCCAAGAGTAGAAATCAGATGTTCCCTTTGGTTGGCCACATTCGCAACCTAAATGGAAGACACAATATAATAAAAATCCGGACCATATAGTTTGAGCAATCTTGCAACACACAATTATTTGCATTTAAATGCACAATTGCAACATTTTAATCAGTGCAATTATAAATAACAAATCAAGAATGAAAAATCTGAATCTAAAGTTAATTAGAATAATAACCTGGAATCCAAAGCAATGCTGAAGAAAATCAAACAAATCTACAAAGGCTCCATTTTTCTTAAAATCTTGGGGTGAGGGTAAACCACGAATGTTATGAATAGCTGCAATGCAGCCTTAATCTGTACCAATTTATAAGCCACTCAGTCCATTATTTAATAAGTAGTCCGAAAGGGGTGAAATATGGAAAAATATTACAGAAAGGAAGGAAAGGAGATACAAGAAAGGAAATGTTGGATATCATGTGCCATCAGACCTCAGGCTGCTGCATAATTGCAAGTTTAATGCCTCCTGTTCAAGTGGTAGAATGTTGAACTCAGACTTTTTGTGCAGTTCATTTCCTTCAATAAGCGCCTAATTGGGCAAAGGAGAAATGCTAAGAGAAAAGCATAGAAACATGCTAGTGTAAAGGAGATATACACAAAAGAAAGGAAAGGAAAAAAAAACCTGAGGACCAGCTGCATTTATAACTGTTTTCAACACCTCAAACAGAACAGAAGCTATATTCACGTGCATTATCAATTTTTCTCTGACTGTTAAGGGAAAGACATCACATATTTAGTTTAGCAGGGCCATACAAGAATATAAAATTTCTACTTGAAAAGGAAAATGATGCATTAATGATTATAAGCTTAATTACCTGTGTTCTAGATCAAAGGTTTTATCATGTTTGATAAAATAATTTCTGTAGGAATGCTACACGCGTTTAAGTTCACGACTATCACTCTTATCCTTCCTTTTTCTGATGGTGACTTCCTCATCCTGTTGTGTCACATTTCACAAAAGCAATACATTAACATGTTCTTTCAAAACAGATGAGGTGATATGTCCAATGCTTGCACCCATCCTGTATCAGTTTCTGAATTAAGTTTAAATCTAACCAAAAATTAGTATTTCACATCATACTGTTTTTCTTGTGTATATTGACAATTCCAAACTGTGGAACAATTAATGAATGTCTTTTCTAAATACGTATATGTATATTGCATATTTATTCTATTACAATACATTACGTCAGAGAGACAATGTATTTAAATTAGACTCTGTCCTTGACAAACACACACTCCAAACATTTTCACTTACTTGTTCAAGTCGCTGAAGAAGTGAAGTTTTGAATTGTCTGACACCCCTTCCCGTAGAATTTTTGTCCTTTTTGTGTGCAATTTCAAAGGCATGATGAAAAGGCCTGCAAATTGAAGTACTAGCACATTGTAAAAATACACCCTTTGTTGATTTTAGTCAACCATGAATATTATTTATGGAATAAGCATAGTTGAGAATGTGCTGGACTCCATCGAGCACAGGCGGTTTTTTAGTTGAGAATGTGCTGGACTCCATCGAGCACAGGCGGTTTTTTTAATAACCCCAAAATAATGATAATGATGATAATAATAATAATATAATAATAATAATAATCTGGGCCTTAGCTTGTAATTTTATCAACAAACTGGGTGGGTCTTGTTCTGTTTTCCCCCATGACCTTTTCATTCAAATTCTCTTCCTCTTTGTCGGTAAAAGGGGCAGAAAACAAATGAGCAGCTCGAGAGACTTGCACGACCTTTTCATTCAAATTTCTTTCTCTTTGTCGGTAAAAAGGGGCAGAAACAAATGAGCAGCTCGAGAGACTGCACCGACCTTCACCCTCCATTCTTCCTCCTCCATTTTCTTCTCGCCGTTCAACTTGCCATTGATAATTGGGGAGCGTCCGCTACTGATGTTGCAAGAAGTTCGTTTGTGTGGTCCTTTTCCCCCTGTTTCTAGCTGTCGGTTTCCCTTCTTCCTCTCTCTCTCTTATTGCGCGGCGGTGCTGCCAAGGGTCTTTCCTTCCTGTTCAAGTTATCTTTGTTCTATTGTCTAAGTTTGTTCTTCCATGTTTTTTCGTTTCCTCTAGCTTGATTTGTTGGAAGTGAACTCTCTTCCTCATCTAGGATGCTCATCGTGTGAATGTTAGTAAATAAATTGGAATTTTACTCTAATATGCTGCTCTCTAATACGAGTGGACGCATGAATTTTATAGTTCCTAAGGTTTAATCAAGCTATAATTTGAATTTTAAGGAAATTATAATCACTGAAAAAAAATATTACTAAAATTAGAGTGAGTTGCGGGGTTTAAAAATTTATTCTTGATGGAAACGGGGGGTTGAAGTATATGTAAATCTCTATTGGTGTTTGATAACATATGGGCTGGAGTTTTAAAGGTTTAGAAGCTTTTCTTGAAGAAATTGGAAGGAAAATGTCGGGTTAGATTTTGTGTAAAAATGTTTAAAAGAAAAAGTATTTAATAATACTATTTAGTTGGGATAAGAGGATATGAAAATTTGAAAATTTAAATGATGATAAAAAGTGACTTTAATTTGTTCAAGTTAATTAGAGACATATTATTGTAGCAAGAGAGTTTGTTTAATTTGTAGGAATATGTAAAATTCTATTATAAGAAAAAAGTAGGTTAGATGTTTGTAAAATGTTCAAAAGAGAATTATATTTTAATAATACCATTTAGTTGGGGGTAAGTGATAGGAGAAATTAAAAACTTAAATGATGATGAAAAGTGACTTTAACTTGTTCAAGTTGATTAGAAACATACTATAAGGGTCAGAAGAAAGAAGAAAAAGAAGAGAAGAGAAGAAAGAAGAACTTAATTGAAGTTGTGGGAAAAAATTTTAAGAACTAGGCAATATATCAAATAGTAAATAACGTTTTCCATATATATAAAAAAGCAATTATCCTTCTTTTACCTTATTTATTTACTTTAATTATTTTGAATAGATCTTTTTTAAATTGTATCTTATGATTAAGTTCATTCATATGTAGCTAGTTTGATTATTATTCAATTTAATCATGTAGGCATTTTCATGGCATTTTTTTTTAGAAATATATATATATATTTACATGCATAGATCAGATAAATTACTGGTGAAAAAATCACTTATATCATGCATACAAAAATTACTGGTGAAAAAATCACTTATATCTTACAAATTAAAGAACAATTTGAATTACAAGGGTTTATAGATTCCATGCATGCTAGAAATGTTTTATGAGACTGAATACAGAACACTAGTTGCTAACGACAATATCTTTAACCCTTAGCGCGTCATGGTGTACTTAGCTAGTAGGGTACATTGGAGGTGCTAGCCTTATGTGTCAGCCAACACATGTGGAACGGAAGGTGTAATTTCGTGGATATAATCCACGCCTATCATTCATGAGTTTTATATTTACACTTGTTTTTTGTGGTTTTTAGTCACGCCAGATGTTACTTAACATCATAGATTGTGTGCCTATGCCTATTATTTGTTCTGTTTAAGTCCTAACAAAAAAACAAGTTTTTCCAAGTCATATTCTTGCTCTTAATATTGTATTTTGTAATTTGTTTTATATAAAGGTTGTTTACAAGTCTCTACTTTCTCTTTTTTATTTTATTTACTCAATTATCAAGATTAAATTGTGTTGTTATTTTCCAACACATTCTATAATTAGATTATATCTTGTTTTCTATTATATATTTATAATTATCATCTTTATTTATTATTATTATTATTATTATTATTATTATTATTATTATTTGGGAATGTTATTTATTGGAAGAATTTTGGTATTCAAATAGTAGAAGTGAATCTGCTCCTCAATAGACCTCATGAATAGACCTCATGAGACTCCTTGAGACAAGAATTATTTTGTAGCTTTGTTCATATTGTGGATTAAAGTAAATATTAAGTGTTTTCATTTTTGTTTTAGAATTGCTCCACGAATCATATATATATATATATATATATCAAAGTAAAACTCCGAATGTCGCTTGATATTCTTTTAGTAGGCTGTAAAGGTTTTGGGTAGTCCAACTTTTAGTAGAGATGTTGCCAAAATTTCTACAACAAGCTTAAATATTTTGTTAATGCTAATAGTTGTTTAATACAAATGATAATTATATAATAAGATTGTTAATTAATATATTAGAAATTATATGAATTTGGAGCTTATAAAATATGAGTTTTTTAATATTTAGTTAGTCACACTTTAAAAATTCAGGTGTGACAATTTTAATTTTGTGATAGTCTTCATTTTGTGGACACCATCTAATCAATCATCAACATTTCTACTGAATCCATATTCAATTCAAGCGTCGCTACCTCAGCTGAAGTGAATAAACAAGATAATGCCACCTTCAACTGAAAGCTCTTTTCTTGTCATAGTGAAAACAGATTACCTAACCCTATTATCATTAATTATATTTGCCTTTTTCTTTCTTCCTTTTTTAAATTTTATTCTGATTGAATATGTTCTCAATCAAAATCTTGGACTGAATTCAAGACTTTGAAGTAATTTGGCAAAACTGAACTTACTTTTCATATCATACCTCTAAAAGAGTAACAGAAATAAGGGTAGTTTCAAGACTCTAGTTCCCAGTAATTTTTTCTTCAACAAAAAAAAAAAAAACATCATGCAAAACACAATCAAGTTACAACTCCATTGCATAATCCAGAAATAGCAAAAGGAAAAGAACAGAAAAGAAATTATTACTTACAAAGATAGGCAACGCGAGGCTCCTCCCCTTCAATCAAATTGGCGACACGAAGAAACCTTTGAATTTCAGAAGCAAAAACAGTCGGCAACCTTTCACTGTCGAAGGGCTCAGGAACATCATCAACGTGACTGGGACCATCGGTGATCGCCAACGTGGCATTGGACCTTGAGTACGACGTCTCGCCTTCTTCGTAAGAACTTCTACCATAATATGGCCTATCAAGGAAATGGGTTTCACCCCCTTCGATGGGCTCTGCAAGAACAATCTCTGACATAACTGCAAGCTCAAAAATCTAGAGCACGACGACGAACAAGAAGAAGACGACGCGAGGGCAGAGTATATGTGCGGGATCTTCTTCCCCATTTTTCTTTTCTACTAGCGCTGTTGCTTAATGAGGTCTGCTTTCGTGTGCTTTCTCACGGTGCAACTTTTTTTTAGCGTCTGATTGGAAAGCTAGACAAATCAATGTGGTCTTTTGCTTTTGCTTTTTGAATCTGGTTTTGGTTTTGGTTTTTAGCTTTCTTTCCCGAGAGAGAGAGAGAGAGTCTCTTTCTTCTCGTCTGTGAATGCTTCTGTAATGCATTGCAATTGTTGCCGTAAAGCAGAAAGAGAGAGAGAGGCTCTGCTTTTGAAAATGCCAATGGCGGATTTTCAGTGATAAAAAATTGCGCTTACGTGGGAGACACTTGCGTGAATCAAGAGATTCATTCTTTAATCCATGCCTAGTTCCTTTGGTCTCGCAATAATTGATCCCTTTGTTTTCTGCTTTCACTATCTTTCTTGCTTTTCTACTTTCTTTTTTCTTTATGAATTTTGTTTCAGAATTTTTCTTTCCCTGGAAGAAGCATTTTTTCCGTTTTCGGCCAGAACCAGAAGAAGCAAATTCAAGTGAGTATTTTCTTGCGCATCCGTGTAAAAGAACATATTTGACATGGCTTCATCAATGAAATCGAGTTAAACTACCATAGAAGCTCAAGAGGAATTTTTTTTTTTTTTGGGTAAGGACCAGTTGGTTTGTAAGTTAAAAATTTTATGGATTATATCAGCTATATATAACCTGAAATTTGGTTCAAATCATAAAAGAACTGTATCAGTTTAATGAAAGCTCTCAAATTCCAAATCTTAAAAAATGTAATAATGTTAGCCGTATAATGTCAACCTATGGGATCCCATCTCAATTTGATCTGAATACCACACTTAAGTTCCAATCAACTAAATATGGGGTGGATCCAGAATAACGGATAGTCCACAAAAAACAAAAACACAGGATGCTTTTCAATTTAGAAGTTGTTTAGCATTGTGGTTACCACAATGTAACAATTTCAAGTTGAACTCCTTCAAGTTTGGAATACCCATCAAAGATAATTTTCATAACCTTAATGATAGGAAATGAGTTGTAAAGGTCCTTTATTTTAGTACTATGAAAAATATTAGAATTGTTTTTAGTGAACTGTCTGGTCTTTACATTATCATAAAAAGCTCTACTAGCTGATGTTCAGAGTTCTTCCCCTTCTCATCCTCTTCTGGCTACATATACGTTCATGATCCTTGATAAGGTTGAAATTGGTGGCTTCCTATTTGAGTTGGCAAAATCTATTTTAATGGAAAGGAAAAAATTCTAACGGGTAATATGATTGGTAATTTAGTAATCTTCCTTGGTCAAACAAACATGTACACACAGGAATGGATTCATGCACTGAAGACTTTTTCCCTTTCCTTCCATGGATTTTCACACTACCAAACATAACATACTATACGTTTTTCCCATGGATTTTCACCCTATCAAACATTGAAGACTTTTTCCCTTTCCTTCCATTGAATCCTCTTTCTATCATTTTGATGGGAAATTAGTTCCTATTCCTAGGAAGCTTGAATGAAGTACATCAAATCAAACATTTTTCAAGTTCCTTCTCACTCTTCCCTTCATTGCTAAAATTTAGCTGATACCAAACAAGCTCCATGTACCCAAACACTAGCATCTTGTTTAGTAGGCCCTAACTATGATTTCCCTTTATGAAAGAAGAAAAGAAAAAGAAGGGCGTCGTGAAACTTGTCAAAATCATCTCCAAACAAAGGACTCATATAGTCACAATATATCATAATATACCTTTAAATTTGTTATGAGCCTCATGTAAGGAGTTTCATAAAAGAAAGTTTATAAATTTAAAAAGCTTTTTCAACCCAATAGATTATTGTTTTAGAATTGAGATTCTCCTTCTAAATTTGTATTAATAATATTAATATTTTTATTGAAGGTCGAATATCATGAAAAAAGCTATATATAAAAAATTTTATGATGATAAGTTAAAAATAAGATATCATTTTTTTTCTAAGAGCACATGCGAAAGAGCCTTGTTAAAAAGGTGAGTTTAAAAGTTTAAAAATCTCTCTCACTTAACAAGATAATTTTTTAAGATGGACTCTCTTTATACATGTAATATAATTTACATAAATAGAAATAGCAGTACTTGTATTACTTAACAATCTTGTCCCCTGTTTTCGTTTAATAATTAAAAAGATTAAAAAAATTACTGTTTTTCTAATTAAAGTATTAAACTATGAACACTAATTTTTATAATAATTTTTTTTCTATTTCTAGGTAACAAGAAAGCTGTCTATAAAGTATAAAGTAACACTAGACTAAATTGAATCAGTTTGATGATGTTATCTTTTAAGTTTATTCCCTTACAAAGTCATGCTTAGCTTCTTGGAATATGCAAGCATGAATAGTTGTTATTTGAATGAAAAGGATGTTGAAAATTCATGTGACGTTCCACTCACATGTTAAAGTTATCCAAGTAGACATTATTAACTTATTAATCAATAGAAAAACAAAGAAGTGTACCCAAAAAAGACTGTTACATCACATCACAATACTAGTCTTACCATCTCATTGTTATTATTATTATTATTTCATCGTTTTACATTTTGAAAAACTTGAAATATTATTATATCCCGTTTAGATTTATCTAAATTCTCATTACATAGAATGCTTATTATCATATTGTTACTTATATTTATACCTAACTTTAACATGAATTGATAAAAGAGGAGGGGACCCTCACATCTTGGTAAGCACGACCCGAAAGCATGTGTGTGTGTGTTGAGTCAAATTAATTGAGTGCCACGGTTGGCTTTGTATAACTTTAAGAATGTTATCTTTGAAATGTACTTTTTAAGTGGTTTGATCTTGGTTAAATGACATTTAAGTTTTAAAAGGATGGATTTATTTAAACAAAGCCTCAACAAATTTAAAAATGTAAAGTAGGTCACTTAGTTCTTTATATGGTGTTTTCATACAGTGCAATACATTTTCAATTTTAAAATTAAGAAAATGAGTTTCAAATTTAGGAAGATAAAATTATAAATTTGTGAGATAAAGTTGAAATTCTTCAAACTGTTCAATAATAATGTTATTTTTTAAGTTTAATCATTAGGAATTGTATTTCATATTAAAATCAAGAAAGCAAGAAGCAAATTCAAGATAACAAGATTACAAATTTGAGAGATAAAGTTGTAAATTTTTGAAAGTGTTTAAATAAAATCTGTATTACCTATTGAAATTGGGAAAATGAGTTGTTAATTCAACAAGATGATATTACAAATTTGAAAAGCTAAGTTGCAAAATATCAAATTTGGGAGATAAATTTGCAATTTTGTCATTTTAAATTTACAACTCACTTTCCTGATTTTAATAGAATGCAAATTTAATGATTAAATTTAAAAAGTAATATGTCTTTATTTGAATACTTCTAAAATTTGTAATTTTTTTATCCCAAAATTGAGATTTTATATTGTTAAATTTACAGCTCGTTTTCTTAACTTTATAATTCAAAACAGATTGCATTATATATATAAAAATATTAGTTAAGGATTTAAGAAGCTTACTTTACATTTTAAAATTTATTAGAACTTTACTTGAATAAAATGATCTCATTCAAACTTAAGTGTTATCCCCTTAACTTTGCATTTAAAAAGTTGATAGTCTAGCCTCTAATAATTATTTCATAAAAGAAATCATAATTGTTTCATAAATAGTCTGGCCTCTAAGAACTCTGGACCACTTGTTTTGTTTTTATAATTTTATCCTATTTAATAATTTTTCTCGTATTTTCTGAAAGAAGAGTGCTTTTTAGTTAATAATTAATAATTAATGCTTATAGTGTATAACTAAGTGGAGTCTCTTGCAACTTATAAACAGTAAATACAGACATCTTTTTTCATTTATCTTCTATGGTTCTTGGCTTCTACTTTGTTTTGACGTGAGGAATTCAAAAAGCACTATACACTTTAGTCTAAAATGATTTTTTTTGTGCTAACGAAAAAAATAAATAACTAGCACATAAATAGCTTTTTACACCATTGAAAAAGTATAAAAAGTGTGTGCAGTGGCATTATTATAAATAAATTAAAGGAAAACTAATCTGCAGATACTTATAGTCTTTCTTAATTATGAATGAGGTTTTTGTAATTCATTTTATTTTAATCAAAACTTTATAGTTTGATTTATTAAACATTTTAATCCTTAAATATTAAAATTAACAATGAATTATTAAATTTCCTAAACAAAAGTATATTTGGAATTTATGCAATATTTATTAACTAAAACTGAAAACCAAAAATTTGATTTTATACACTGTTTATATTTTTTATTAATTCTTCGCTGAAAATTTTATAAGTATAAAAAATATTTAAAAGGCAACTTAAATATATAAATTTTGAGTTATAGAAATTATCTCATTAACTCTAAATTTATATAATGATTTTAAAAAATAAAAAATTTCTTATTTTTGTTTTTTAAATAAAAATTCAAAGATGTTAATTTTTAAGGATTAAAAACATTTAATTGATCAAACTATAAGGATTCAATTAAAACAAAATAAATTATAATAACTTAATTCAAAATTAAAAAAATTATAAGGAATTTCAGATTTATTTTTTAAATTAAAATTTTAACAAACTTCTTATACTAGCTGTAATTATTGGTGTGAAAAATGTTTTATATAATAATGAAAATAGAAAAACCTGTTTGGTCAAAAAAAAAAAGAAAAGAAACCTGACCTAATATCATAAAATCTTAAACAGACAAACTAAAGAAGAAGAACACCTCAAAAAAGTGACATATAACTATACAGTTTCTTTTATTCATAAGACTGACTCATTAATAGTAGTAGTATTATTAGAAAAAAGCACAATTTTTAATTTTTATAGTTTTATCAGATTTTATTTTTAATTTTTATAGTTTTTTTAATATTTTTAGTCTCCATAAATTTACGAAGGTTGGGTAATCCTTATTTTTTAATTTTTTATAATTTTATTTTTTTAGTAGTTTTAGTTTTTATAGAGATTGAAAATATTATAAAAAAATTATAAAAATTAAAAATAAAATTTAAAAAATTATAAGAATTAAAAATTATATTTTTTCTCATCATTATCATCATCATTTAATGCACCATCTCTGTTGTTGTAACGTACATGAGACGCGCTTGCAGGTGGGTAGGCAGGGGCCGCTTTACAAAGATAGTAGTGCGTATGCTGAATTTGTGAATATTAAGCGACGCTGTAAAGTTGCCCAGTCGTGCATGCTTTGCTGCGATCGGCACATTAATTTCTTGTTGCTTAAGAATACAACGCACGGGGGCTTTTAATTAAATCTATTTAATGTCTAATTGTTTACAGCACAACTTTTTAAGAGTATGTAATAAAAATTAACCATAGGTTTAATTAAAAATGTGCATTAATAATTTCATGAGCTTAATTATAACGTCAAAGTAGCTCGGGAAAATGCATTCATTGTTATAGTTTTCAGATGCATGCCCTGTCCGATCATATTGGCCACTCTATTTATTAAGGGAAAATTGCTCAAAAAAAAAAACTCAGAGCAAGATATTTATTGCCTATATAAGGACTTGGAATTGGGGGAATGATTGGGTCCTCCCGTGATAATATTTTTAAGAAATAAATGGTTAAATGAACCCTTGGGTTTTTTTTTTTTTTTTTACTCCTAGAACGGATTTGTATTTTACCTTTTTTTTTATGATAATTCATAACTGCCTGTTGTAATTCTGATTCGACTACCACTATTGCATTTTTTTCAGGGTTAAGGTCTGCTTCTTTGCTCAGCCAATTGATAATATTTAAGCAAATTGGCAGTTGTTATCTGTCCTGGGAATCTGCCTTGAAATGTTTTGTTAGTAAGTGTTGGGGGATAATTAGTTGCACTAATTTACAATATAGGTTGGACACTCCAAATTACTTTTTTGTTAACTTCTGCTGCTGCAATTTTATGATAGAGAAAATATAATTTAGTGCATGAGATTAGGAGTTATGAAATTGATTAATGAATTTTGTGGAAAGTATGATAATTTCAACATTTCTAATATGTGATTTTTAGCTTTATCATACATAATTTAATTCATTTTTATGCCTCTTGAGTATATTTAATTCTATCCCGAAGATTGAAGTCAGTGCGAAATGTAGGCATTTGATTTAACACGGGTTGGGCCTTAACCCACACGGCCTCGGCCACTCACGCTCCTCTCCACCTATCGACGGCAGCGAGCGACCGCCTTGGTTCCTCCACTCTCTTCGCTTCTCTAGCTTGGCTCCGTCATTCACTCTCACTTCAGCTATCTCGGCTCAGGTATTCACCTCTCGTTCTCGGACTCTCTTGTCTCTCCTCTTTCTCGACGCAGTACGACGGCGTTTCCAGTTTCCACTCTCGCTCGCCATGTGTAGGCGGCGATAATGGCGACGATTTCCATTCACGATTCCAGTCCCTGCGAAGTTTGACTCGGTGACAAATTGGGGCTCCCTTATTTGAAATAAAAGACGTGTTTATTTGAAGCATATGCATTGCGCACCTCTTCATCAAGTTCACCAACAGGTAGATCTTCTTCATTTGTTGATATTAACGATCCTCACTATACTATGACATGACTCTCGAGGGCATTATTCTGAATTTTCCAGTACTTTATATTTAGCATGATTAGAGTGTATTTTTTCTGAGGTTTCCTTTGTCTAGTGCAATTCGTCTATTTGTTGATTTTCCTGTAAAATTAGAACCCTTGGGCTTGTAGCATAAATTATATTGGGGATAGAACGAAAGTACGAAACTTCTCGCTTGAAGTGTGTTAAGTCATTTTGTAACGATTTAGTTGTTGGTTGTTGGAAAGAAATGGAATGGATTGATTGAGAATAAAAATGAACTAAAATGAAGTTATAGGATGATAATGAGAAAAGAGACAGAGAATGTTAGAGAGGTGAAAATGAGGATTGGTATGAACAAGATCATCAACCAAACACACCCTTAATTGTTTTCTAATAAGTTTTGATAAACTCTGATGCAATGTTTTGCTCGCAAAAAAGCCTTTTTTTTAGAAAGGAAATGAGAAATGCATCTATAACATTTTTTAATCTCAGTACATTTTTCATTTCCTTTCAAAAAACATTTCCCCTTCCACTAAACATTGGCTTAATGTGCCTCTGGGTTTGAGTTCCTGATATGGTGAGTGTTGCCTCCAATTCAGGTTCGGGGTTCCACTAGAAAAGCCAGCCACAGCTTTGAGACATGATTTTCAGAGCTTCTCCAATAATTTGCAAGCTCCCTCGACATTTGATTTTCAACTCTCTTGCTTTCACGTACTCTACCGCCACGTGGTCATCCTCGTCTTCTTCATCTCCTACTTTTTTAGCATCTACAAGGGATTCTGCCATTTTGACAAGGCTAAATCATAAAGACTGGTTAACTCCCAAAGAGGTGTTGACTCTTGTAAACTCCCTCACTGACCCATCTTCAGCCTTTACAGTCTTGGAACTCTACTCCAAGCGCAAGGACTATAAACCCAATGAATCCTTCTACCTCTCCATCATCCTCAAACTAGCTCATGCCAAAATGTTTGATGCCATTGACAATCTCATGCACAGAATCAAACTCGAGAGGAACTGCCGTTTGTCTGATGATTTCTTCTACAACATTATCAAGGTCTACGGCAACATGGCTGGTCGTATAAACAAGGCAATGGAGACCCTCTATGACATGCCCAAATTCCACTGCTGGCCTAGCTCGAAAACCTTCAATTTCGTCCTAAACCTCCTTGTATCTGCCAAACTGTTAGATATTGCTCATGAAGTTTATACCTCAGCTCCTAAGTTAGGTGTTGAGATCGATGCTTGTTGCCTCAATATACTCATCAAAGGCTTGTGTAATTGTGGGAAGCTGGAGGCTGCATTCCAAGTGCTTGATGAATTTCCCAGGATAAAATGTGAACCCAACGTGAGAACTTTCTCCACGCTGATGCATGCTCTCTGTGAAAAAGGGAAGGTGGATGATGCATTTTTATTGTTGGATAGAATGGAGGGATATGGTATTTGGCCTGATACGATATTGTTCAACATACTGATTTCTGGGTTGAGAAAACAGGGGAGAGTTGAACAAGGGAAAGAGCTATTGGAGAGAATGCAACTTAAAGGGTGTTCTCCTACTGCAAGTTCTTATCAAGAAGTTCTGTATGCATTGCTTGATGCTGAGAGGTTTGTTGAAGCCAAACATCTCATGGATCACATGGTTTTGATGCGCATCACTCCAAGCTTTGTGTCTTATAAATTGATGATTCAGGGACTGTGCAAGATTAATCTTGTGGGTGATGTTGATTGGGCTGTGAAGCAGATGGTGCAGCAAGGTTTTGTGCCCAAGATGGGGATGTGGAAACAGATTGTAACAAGTATGGTTTCCCAAGGTCCTTCTTTTCAACTGGAAAGTTTTCTCTTGGATTAAAAATAAAAGACATTTATAACTTACAGCGTGACTTGTAAAATTTTATATTTTATTTTTATATACTAAATATTAACTGTATATTAATTTATATTTATAAATTTTCAATGTATCAGTTTTGTTTAAACTTGAGCTTGACCTCACTTTATTTCTTTCCTCACCATTGACTGTACCAAGGGACGAAAATATGCCAAACACCTTATTTGTTTTGCACTAGTTTTGTGATTGACCTTTTCCACTGATGCAACAGTTCGTAAGAAAGCATTGTGGGCATGGCTTCCTTCATTTGACTCTCTCTCTCTCTCTCTCGTAAGGTTTGCTAGCATGCATATTTGGTATTTTTTTTTAAATCATCTACAGAAGTGTACCACTCTATATTTAAATCTCCTTTGTTGCATTTATTCACGGAGTGTGTGAGTGGGTGTAACATAGTGTATTGCAGTTACAAGTCAATAACAGGCTGTTAATTATTGAATGAAATTATGTAGTATCAGTATGTAATATTCCTTGACTGAGTTCACTAGGAAAATTAGTAAGGTGACCTGTTAACTTTGTGCCATTCTTGTCTGCATGAGGCAAACCTATTTTGTACAATGGTTTAGAAGTATGGTGAGTCTTGTGATGGTGAAATGGATATAAAAAACAATATTTTTTTATTGCATATACTTTTCTTTTCATTGAAGGTAATTCTACTCGCGCCTGGGCTAGGTATTAAATTTGAGCATATTGTGAGAGATTAATTCATTCAATTGAACTTAACCCAGTTGATGACATTAAAAACATTATGGTAAAGCAATCTTATTGTCACTACGTGATAATCCATGTTGTAGAAAGGTATTGTATGTGACAAACAAAATCTTAACCCTAGTTTTGATGTTTATCGTCTGTTTGGTTTGAAGAGGAAAATTGATATATGAAAAAAAAAGAATAAAAAAAAATGAAAAGATAATCTTATCATTGAATAAGAAAATGTCATAATAAAAAAATGGTTAAATGATAAATTGACTTTCAAACTATAAGTTTAAGAGTATCTTGAATTCTAAACTCATTTTTAGTTTAATATTTTTTTTTTAACTTTAACAAAAAATTAATTTTGACTATTAATTGATAAAAAATATAAAAAATGACCTAAAATTTTTTCTTGATTATTGTCTGTAATTTTTGGACCATTATATGTAATTTTAGGTTTTTTTTTGCAATTTTTAAATTTTTTTCTATAATTTTTTTGTCATTTTTTTATAATTTTTTAATCAACTAATTATAAAAGTAACTTTTTTAAATGGTAGAATTGACATTATATGTTTTTTTAAGATACTAATAAAGAATATTATATAAAAATAAATTTAGCATCCGTATATCCCTATGCCTATTGTTTTAGTGTGAATTGTTTGTTGACCCAAAAAAAAAAAAAAACTCTTAATTGGTGTCAGCACCACGAAACGTTGTGAGCCGATGCTTGCTGGGAGTTTTTTCAGGGCCAGGCTCTTCAAAAAAAATGGTCTTCCAATTGGAAGAGCATTTGGAAATTCTCAACTCTCAAGTCACTAGTCCTTCGAAGTCTGTCATTCGCATCGCCTCTTGGACCTGCATTTGGTCCTCATCACCCACAAAGGCTGATCTTGGTCCTTTATTTTCTTTCAAGTGATTTTTTCCATTAATTTTAAATTATTTAAAAAATATTTTTAATATTATATTTATCAAAATAAAATTTTATAAAAATTAATTATTAGATATAGGTTGTCCAGAGTATATCTAAATGATTAATTTGTAAAAATTATAAATTTTTTTAATTTTAAATTAGACATTTCAAATGATATATTGTTCATAATATATCTGAATCATCAATTTGTAAAAAAATTTAAAAAATAATATTTAATAAATTCATCGAAATTAAATCTGTACTCACCAAATTTTTGATAAACAGATTTATAAAAGGTTTTTTATATTTTTATTTTAATGAATATAAAATACAAATAAAAATCTTAAATTTGGACTTTTTAGATTTCATTAAAGGTGATGAGTACCATAGTATTAATCTTCTAATAAATATAAAATTCAGTCCAGATTAAAATATTAAATTTTTTCATATTTTTTATTTTAATAAATGTAATATTAAAAATAATTTACAAATAATTTAAAATTAACTATAGAAAATCATTTGAAAAAAAAGATGGAAGGCCAAGATCAGCTTAGGGGGTGATGAGCACGGGCACGGAATACAAATCCAGATCCGTGTTTCACTTATTGGCAACTGTGTCGTTGTTTTCAATTGTAAATTTTAAACAGTTGCCTAATCTTTTAAATAATTTAAAGATTTTATTAAAAAATTTATTTTCAGAGATTTTATAAAAAATAATTAAATTAAAATAATAATGATAATAATAATCATTATTAAGTGATTTTTAGATTTATATATTTATGGATATCTATCCATAAAAAATTTATTATTTAGTTATTTTAAAATATTATTATATATTCATGTATTTTTTATAATATTTTCTTTCATTTATTGTATCACATTATTTTAATAAAATAATATTATTAAAATAAGGGAGAATTCCAACTAAGTTTCACACAGAAAAATTAATTACTATAAGGTCCACTGACAATTAAATTAAACAGACAATTGGTTGTGTTGTTAATACAGTTTAGTTTAGTTGTCAGTGAACCTTATAGTTAGAGGTGAAAATATAGGTTAATCCGACCTATATGGGTTGAGAGAAATGTGGGTTGCGTTGGGCTCAACTCATTTTTATATGGGTTAAAAAAATTTCAATCCAACTCTTGAGGGTTGGCAGGTTAAATGAGTTAACTTGCCAACCCATTTATTAATTTTTTAAGAATTTTTTAAAAAATATACCTAAATAATAAGTTTTAATTTGATATTTCTTCATGATTCATTCTAAATATATCAAAATATTAATTTATAATGTTTGTACGAAATATATAAATTGATCCTACTAAGTAAGTTATGCCTAATATGGTTAATATTCACAAAATTTTTTCCTTTTTATTTTTTTATTAATTTTTTTAAAATAATATGAGTTAAATGAGCCAACCCTAACTCATCAGGGTTAACCTATATGGTTCATGAATTATATGGTTCGGGCCAAAAAAACTTATTTTTATTTGGGTTAATTTTTTTCCAACTCAATTCGACTCTTATAACCGATTATTCGGATTAATCCATATAACTCAACCCATATTCTCAGCTTTACTTGCAATGATTAATATTTTTTGCATGAGATTTCAATATAATTTTCCCTTAAAATAATCAAAATATGTTGTTTTGAATTGTGATTTTTTAAAAATTTAAGCAAACATTATAAAACTTCACAAAAATAACTTTTTTTAAAAAAATAATGTTTTCATGAAACAAAATTAAACCAACATGTCGTAACACCATTGCTGCCTCCAAAAAGATAGTTTAATGGGATGTGCAATGTATTTATTTATATATTTAAAACTCTTTTTAGGTCCTTCTAATATAGGATGGAACAGCTTCTCTATTAATTCTTGACTCTCTCGTACTGATTGGGCGAATTTGGGTGTAGTTGTGATATTACTTTATTACAAGACTATTATTCTCTTCTCAACAAGCTCATTCAACAAGTGTATAGTGTATCCGTTAATACATTCAATGCTCACCCTAAGTTGGTCCGACGTGGGATAAATGGTTCCCTGTCTATAAATATAAATGAGATTCTCCTTTGTTTAGTTGGAATCAAATTCCTGTTTTTTATTTGGGCCCCTTAAGGTTAAGGCACTATTGACTATTGAATATGGAGCAGTCTTGATTGACTGACCTAGTCTCCCTCCCTGCCACGCCTCATTCTCACTTTCTCAGACCACGCTTCCGGTCCTATCAGTTTCACCTTCACTCGTCCACTTTGACTTCAGCCATTCACTTCTACTTTCTGCTCTCGTCCTCGGCTTCTATTCTCTCTCCTCTTTGTCTACGCACGGCGACGTTGTTGGAGGTCAGGCCGTGAGGGGCTATAATATAATGGCGGCGATTTCCATCCCATGGTTCTAGTCACCGCGAAGTTTAATTCTCTGACAAGTTGGGCCTCCCATCTTTTGAGTAAAAGACGTGTTTACCTCAAGCCTATGCATTGAGCACCTGTTCATCACGTCTAACAGCTAGTAAATCTTCTTCCTTTGTTGGAATTGGACGATCCCCACTACACTATGACACGACTATCAAGCATTATTCCGCATTTTTCGGTATATTCCAGTGTTTTATGTCCAGTATACTAGATTCTTTACTGTGTATGCAGCCTTATGCAATTCGTTTATTTGTTCATTTTTCTGTACGCTGAGCACTAGAGAAGATCACCTTGGTATTGTTTGTGATCTTTCATTGGTTGTAATTTTGTAAATTTTACCACATCCAAGTAGTACTCATTCTCATCATCTTGATCGACTCTCTCCTTCCTGTTACGGCAGACTGAAGCTTTGAAGTAGAGAAAAAAGGCGCACAGAAGAAGACGGTGCTCCTCACTATCTCAGGTTTGTTTTTCCTGACTTTGCTGAAATGGGCTGCTTGGTTTTTCTAATTGGTTTTGCTCCTGTAGTTTGGGCGTGACTTTTCTGCGAGTTTCGGGTTTAGTTTTCGTTTGTGATGCTGACCTGCTTCAAAAAAATTTAATCTATTTTTCCAAACAACCCTTTTATTGTTTGTTTTTAAATGTGTTATTAAAACAAATGACTAATGCCATTTTAAAGTTATTTTGAAAACGATTTGTCAAAACTGTTTCAAGACGGTAAAAGTAAAATATAGAATCAAACAGGAAGTTCCTATATATTTAATGTTTATTGTATACTATATCTGATTTGGACGAATTCTGAAATTTTTAATTTATATTCTTTCTTCTTGAAGTCTTTGGGGACTCTCACTGCATGTTAAGAGGTAATAATATCACCAATTGCCTTTCAGTTTGCTCTTCTAAAGAACATGGCTGCTGCTGGCGAAATTGGGGCTGCTGAATTCCTTCAGGTTTGCTTTTTCTTCTTTTATTTGAATTCACATAATCCCAGATTTCCATATCATCTTACGGTAAACAATTTGTTTAGTTTGGACCTTTTGAAACGTTGTATGGTTGTAATAAAATTTTGTTGTTGGTGTGGATGGGTTTGTAAATATCAGTTTCCTTTGTATTTTTGGTTGACCAATTGATCAACATTCTATGGGTCTTGTTTCTTCTCTATATTTAATCTTGAAATATTTTGATGTTATTGGGTTCTTTTTTTTTTTTATTTGTCTATGGTTTCAGGGTACATGTAGACAAAGTCTGTTTTTAGTGAAGAAATCTCATTGGCGGAGGAGTAATTTGCTCTGGGGTACAGTTTGGAGTAGAAGACAAGTATGGGGTTCCACTAGAAAAGCCTTATCTTTGAGTTGCCAAGCTCAAACAAATCCTCAAGCTGTGGTTGCTGGGGGTGCCAGTAGTTTAGTAGATGATCAGTCTAGCTTGGTCGTGAAGCCTGCGTCGGAAATTCTTCATTTTTATCGGGTTCCATTAATCCAAGAAAGTGCAGCTGCTGAACTTCTTAAAGAGATTCAGAACAAAATCTCTGATCAGATAGTGGCTTTGCAAACAGAGCAATGTTTCAATGTTGGTATTGAAACAGAACTTTCAAGTAAAAACCTATCAGTGCTTAAATGGATTCTTCAAGAAACATATCAGCCTGATGCATTGCAAACTGAGAGCTTTCTTGAAAAAAGAAGGGAGCAAGGTTTGAGGAATGTTATAATAGAGGTTGGCCCTAGGTTGTCATTTACCACAGCCTGGTCTACCAATGCTGTTGCAATTTGCCGTGCATGTGGATTGACGGAGGTGACACGTTTGGAACGTTCAAGGAGGTACTTATTACACATCCAGGGTGATTTAGAAGATTATCAAGTCAATGAATTTACAGCAATGGTGCATGATAGAATGACTGAATGTATTTACAGTCAGAAGCTAACATCTTTTGAGACCAATGTGGTTCCAGAGGAAGTATATTTTATACCCATCATGGAGAAGGGGCAGAAGGCATTAGAAGAAATTAATCAAGAAATGGGTTTAGCTTTTGATGACCAGGATATACAATACTATACTAAACTTTTCAGAGATGATATTAAGCGTGATCCAACTAATGTTGAATTGTTTGATATTGCTCAATCCAACAGTGAACATAGCAGGCATTGGTTTTTTACTGGAAAGATGATCATTGACGGGCAACTAATGGATAACTCATTGATGCAGATTGTGAAAAGAACTTTACAAGCAAATCCAAATAACTCAGTTATTGGATTTAAGGATAACTCTAGTGCAATTAGGGGTTTTCCAGTGAAACAGTTGCGACCAGTTCGGCCGGGGTCAGCATGTCAATTAAACCCAACGGCATGTGACCTAGATATCTTATTTACAGCCGAGACTCATAATTTTCCATGTGCAGTTGCTCCTTATCCTGGTGCAGAGACAGGTGCAGGAGGTCGCATTAGGGATACACATGCCACAGGAAGAGGTTCTTTTGTACAGGCAGCCACAGCTGGTTATTGCGTTGGGAATCTCAACTTGCCAGGGTCTTATGGTCAATGGGAAGACTCATCCTTTACTTATCCTTCAAATCTAGCATCACCTTTGCAGATCCTCTTAGATTCTAGTAATGGTGCGTCTGACTATGGCAACAAGTTTGGAGAGCCTTTGATTCAAGGCTTCTGTAGAACTTTTGGAATGAGACTTCCTAGTGGGGAAAGGCGGGAGTGGTTGAAACCAATAATGTTTAGTGCAGGCATTGGACAGATTGACCATATTCATATATCCAAGGGAGAACCTGACATTGGGATGCTAGTTGTTAAGATTGGAGGCCCTGCTTATCGTATTGGTATGGGAGGTGGGGCAGCCTCGAGCATGGTTAGTGGTCAGAATGATGCAGAACTTGATTTCAATGCTGTACAACGTGGGGATGCTGAGATGGCTCAAAAATTGTATCGTGTTGTCCGTGCTTGCATAGAGATGGGAGAGAAAAATCCAATTATCAGCATTCATGATCAGGGGGCTGGTGGGAATTGCAATGTTGTAAAGGAAATTATATACCCAAAGGGTGCTGAGATAGATATCCGAGCAGTTGTGGTTGGTGATCACACAATGTCTGTTCTAGAAATTTGGGGTGCAGAATATCAAGAACAAGATGCAATCCTAGTGAAGCCAGAAAGTCGTAATGTTTTACAATCAATCTGTGATAGGGAAAAGTTATCAATGGCTGTGATTGGTACTATTAGTGGTGATGGACGTGTTGTTTTAATTGACACCTTAGAAACTCAGAAGTGTCTGTCAAATGGACTTCCTCCTCCTCTCCCTGCTGTGGATCTTGAATTGGAGAAGGTACTTGGTGACATGCCTAAAAAATCTTTTCATTTTGCCAGGGTTGTTTACGAGCAAGATTCATTTGATGTAGCCCCAACTGTCACGGTAATGGATTCTTTGAAGAGGGTATTGCATTTGCCATCTGTCTGTTCAAAGCGCTTCTTGACAACAAAAGTTGATAGGTGTGTTACTGGTCTCGTGGCACAGCAGCAAACTGTTGGCCCTCTGCAGATTCCTCTTGCCAATGTCGCAGTTATTGCACAAACTTTTACTGATGTGACTGGAGGTGCATGTGCCATAGGGGAGCAACCAATCAAAGGTTTGTTAGACTCTAAAGCAATGGCAAGGTTAGCTGTTGGAGAAGCACTCACAAATCTTGTATGGGCAAAGGTCACTTCTCTTTCTGATGTTAAGGCAAGTGGTAATTGGATGTATGCTGCCAAGCTTGATGGGGAAGGAGCTTTCATGTATGATGCTGCTCAATCTTTGTCAGAAGCAATGATTGAACTTGGTATTGCTATTGATGGTGGGAAAGACAGCCTTTCTATGGCAGCTCATGCTGGAGGTGAAGTTGTTAAGGCTCCAGGAAACCTTGTAATCAGTGTTTATGTCACTTGTCCTGACATTACACAAACAGTGACGCCAGATTTGAAACTTGAAAATGATGGTATTTTGCTTCATATTGATCTGGCAAAAGGAAAGCGACGGTTAGGTGGATCTGCTCTTGCCCAAGCGTTTGACCAAATTGGGGATCAGTGTCCTGATCTTGATGATGTTCCTTACTTGAAAAGGGTATTTGAGAATGTCCAAGACCTTCTTACAGATGGATTGATCTCTGCTGGACATGACATAAGTGATGGTGGGTTGCTAGTTTGTGCTCTAGAGATGGCATTTGCTGGGAATTGTGGGTTTATCTTAGACTTGACTTCAAAAGGAAACAGCCTTTTCGAAACCCTCTATGCAGAAGAACTTGGGTTAATTGTTGAGGTAAGCAAGAAAAATTTAGATGCTGTGCTTGATAAGTTGAACCGTGGTGGTGTTATTGGTGAGATTGTAGGACAAGTAACTGCTACTTCATTGATAGAAGTTAAGGTTGATGGGGTGACTCATTTGAAAGAGAGTACTTCTGTCCTTAGGGATATGTGGGAAGAAACAAGTTTTCAGCTGGAAAAGTTCCAGAGGTTGGCCTCCTGCGTTGATACGGAAAGAGAAGGACTAAAACACAGATGTGCACCTTCATGGAAACTGTCTTTTTCTCCTTCCTTCACCAACCAAGAGTACATACTTGCAACTTCAAAACCAAAAGTTGCTGTTATAAGAGAAGAAGGCAGCAATGGAGATAGAGAAATGGCTGCAGCATTTTACGCTGCTGGTTTTGAACCATGGGATGTTACAATGTCAGACCTTCTTAATGGAGTGATCTCTTTGCAGGAGTTCCGTGGGGTTGTTTTTGTTGGTGGATTTAGTTATGCAGATGTTCTTGATTCTGCGAAAGGATGGTCTGCTTGTATAAGATACAATGAGCCTCTTATAAAGCAGTTTCAAGAATTTTACAACCGTTCAGATACTTTCAGTCTTGGAGTTTGCAATGGGTGTCAATTAATGGCTTTGTTGGGTTGGATACCAGGTCCACAAGTTGGAGGTGTTCTAGGTGCTGGTGGTGACCTATCACAACCAAGATTCATTCACAATGAGTCCGGGCGTTTCGAATGCCGATTTACAAGTGTGACAATAAAAGGCTCACCAGCTATAATGTTTAAAGATATGGAAGGTAGTACACTTGGCGTGTGGGCTGCTCATGGTGAGGGAAAAGCATATTTCCCAGATGAAGGTGTGCTGGATCGTATTGTTCATTCTGATTTAGCTCCTCTAAGATACTGTGATGATGGTGGCAATCCAACAGAGAAATATCCTTTCAGTCTAAATGGCTCTCCTTTAGGGGTCGCAGCTATTTGTTCTCCAGATGGACGACATCTGGCCATGATGCCTCATCCAGAGCGTTGCTTCTTAATGTGGCAGTTCCCATGGTATCCAAAGCAGTGGAATGTGGACAGAAAAGGGCCTAGTCCATGGCTGCGCATGTTCCAGAATGCTAGAGAATGGTGTTCAAGAAATGGTTAGTTCTTGTTTCTAGAGTTCTTTTTCCTTGCTTAGTTGTTGACTAATCCTTGTTACGCTTCATTAACTTTCTGACAGATTGCTCAGCTGTGGAAAAGTGAGATTGAGGTTGCTCAGTTTTGAAGACATTATATAGTTTACTGTAGACTAGTTGAATTTACGACTTTTGCTATTTATGGAACTCACTATTGGATAAGTCAATTTTCTTCAAGTGGGAACTGTAAATAATATTTTGCTTGAACTATGAGTTGCACTGGCTATCTTTGAGAGAGAACATTTTGCCTTGTTTCTTTTTTTCTTTCTTTCTTTCTTTTTTTGGGTTTTTGAAACAATATCTGAGCGAGTATGGAAAAGGTCCTTTTTTTTTGTGGTGAATAATATGTGATCTGTATTGCCTAGTGTTCCCCTTTTGAGAAAATTTCATACTGCTACTTGACGTTTTCATCACGGCTGGACTTTGTCTTCTGCCATTCCCATGTTTCTTCTTCACTTTGCTCAGGAAATTGTTCTGGTTTTTCCATTTTTCTTTCATTAGCATAGTGGACTTATTTCCTCTCTAGATCTTGATTGTTTGATTTTTATTTTTATTTTTTTAATCCCTTTCATTCTAGCAAACAAACAGGCCTATATATGTGCCAAAGAAATTATTGATATTTGAGACCTTCTCAGGGCATTTGGTAAAAGATTGTGAGGGACCTCTGCTCTGTTCCAGTGATGCAGAGAGTTTTATTGACCCTTTTTTTTTAGAATTTTTATTGTATTAGAATTTCAATATTTTGAAGAGACACAAGTTCCTCTATATAATTTCTATCTATATATAATATACAATTTATAAGAAACTGTATTGTTTATAAGTCATGAATAATGTAACTCACCTCAAATTCTGTATAAAGCATGTGTTTACAATATACTAATCTATCTAGCTTTTTAAAAACACGTGACTCATCCTTTTTTAAGCTTTATTGTACTTTATTCGATATGTGAATGGCTAATTTGTAAATAGAAACAGTTCAGATAAAAATTTGTTTTTCACAATAGTATATTCAAGATGATAGCAAGATCATGTGGTATATATACTATGAAATCTCTTCCATTTTTGTTTTGCAAAGTAACTATTATATTCATTAATTTCGGGTTGAAATTGAACAGTGTAGTGATGATTATATATAGCCTTGATCTCATCCTATTTCTTTCCTACCTGTAAGTGATGTCCTGGAACTTTCAAGGAGCATTAAGGTGAATTTCACGACTTATTATATCCAGTCTTATTTATAAATTATTTTTAATATATTTAATGAAAATTAGAAAAAATTTTAAATCTTATTAACTCCTTTAAAAATTTAATAAGTTTTTAATTTTATCCCTATTATCTATATATAAAAAAAAATACTTTAACATTGAATAACATTTCAACATTCAATAGGAATAAAAGAGTAATGATTGGACAAAATAATTGTTTTATGAATAGGATTAAATAAATACTCACATTGTCTTTTAAATAAGACTAGAGGAGTATGTATTAATTATGATTAGATTTCATTTTAATAAGCTATTTATTTATTTATTTATTTTTAAAAAAGGCCTTTTTGCTGAAAGATTTTTTTTAGTCGGTGTAGTTTTGATTTAGTTTCATGATGACTTTTAATTGTTATTGAATGATTAAAAGACAACAAGCTAGAGTGCTAGACCAATGGTAATTGGATCAAGTAAAAGGAAGGGGGAATGGTAATTAAGCCACCCTAAGGGAATTTATGTCAAAGGCCTGTTAGTCTTGTATCGGATATTATCTTATAAAAACACTTATATATTTAATAAATTAAGATTTAACTTTTAACAATAATATATATGTATTTTTACAAAACAATATCTAATATAAAACTAATGGGCCCTTATTGCAAGAGGCCTTAAATGTCATTCTCCCTAAAAAGAATTTGATTTCTCTTGAACTAGGCAACGAGAGATATCTCAAATTAAACTTGATAATGTTATAGAATATTTTTTTAAAAAAAATTTATCACCCGGTGTCTCAAGAAATCTGGGCGTATTACCATTACCCATCCAAATTAATCTGAACTCTAATTGTGTGAGTTTGTTATTACCATTATGACAATCTTATGGGTATCAAATCTAATTTAACTTTTTTGACCAGTTGAATCAAGTGTCCCTTAATAATAATGTTATAAAATATGACCTAGTAATATTAAATACAAATTACCTAGAAAAGCAAAGAAAACAATTATAGTTGGTTAATGCTATTATTTATAAATTACCTCACGTATCCGTATCGTATTTTGTCGATACTTCTTTAATACATACATACATACATACATACATACATACATATATAAAGTATTGAAATATTATTTTTTAATTTAAAGAATCTTTATTTTTTTAAGTATTTAAAACTTTTAGATTACGAGTCATTAATTTAAAGTTGATACTTCAAGAAAATTTTTAAGAAATTGAAATTTATTAAACAATGCGATATTAAACTTTTTGATACTTATATCTTTTTTTTATTTTCTTTTGAAGTTAAAGATTATATTTTTCTTTAAAAAATAAGTTTTAGATGTAATAAAAGAAGGTAACTTTTGTAGATATAATTTATGTTATAGGACCAAATCAAGCAAATAAACTAACATTTATTATATTTTACATTATAATCAGTTTATTATATTCGTTAATGATATACCGTCATTTATCAATGATAAATTCCTTGTAAATTTAAAAATTTTTAATAATAAACTTTTTGTATATCAATGATAAACCTCTTATATATTAATAATAAATTTTTTATATATCAATGTGAACCGGCTATATTTTTAAATTTTTAAAAATTTGGTTCATATTTTTTGGGCACATTATTTTTTTCATCCAATGGGCCAATTTATCCTAAAAGAATAAAGATGATATTTTATTAGTTTTAAAAATGTGAGAATGTAAGCTTATAATATATAAAGTTATAAACCCTAAGTAAGTTGCAAGTGAAATCAGATATAAAAGTTATTCTTTTTTAAGATGATGGTCAAGGAGAAGAAGATATTAATATTATACTTATTAATAGGACTAAACGGTAAGCAAGCAAGTATAATTATGTTTTGCTTGGTATTACTATAAATGACTCTATATATATATATATATATGTTAGTTTGGATATTTTCTAAATTTGAATTATATTTTTAATGTTTTTGTGATTTTTTATAAATATATAATGGTAGATAGTTAATTAATTAACAATGCTCATATCATGAAGACTTTCTTGTGTCCACTTAATATGATTTAAAACATTAGAGATAATATTAGGAATCAATTAGTACTCAAAACACTATTTACCTTTAATCATGGAGCATCAATTTCAATAGGACTCGCTCTCTTTATAATTGACATATTGTCAAGTCCATTGAAAGTGACTGAAAAATCTGTTTAGTGGGCCTCTCTGTAAGACCAAAGCAAAGCCAATAAATCACATATTGGTTAATTATTTAGGCCTTGGGAAGATATACTCTTATATATATATATATATATATATATATATATATATATATGTGGCCATCCAACCACACAATTTTGATACATACCATGCCACCACCACATGTTTGTGGGGTGTAGTTTTGATTAATATATATCATCACTTTAAAATGGATGGTGAATGAACCAACAACACTCCCATGTGAATATTCTCTCTCCGTTTTTTTTTTCAAGGAAAAAAGAGAGAGTCATATCATAGGTTAGATCAATCTTAGTTGTCCAATCATTCAATTGAAAATATTATTATTTCTTAAAAAAAATTTGATCAAATTTTGATTGCTCAAATGAACATAAAATGAAATGATAAACATATTTTGATCTTCCTAATTCTATAATGATTAAATATTATTCAAAATGTCGGTTAGACTTTATGGCCCAACTATCACCTTGATGAGTACTTATACATCATTACAAAATTTTATTTTATTGTAATAAGATATAGCATATAGATAAACATTGACCAAGTCTAAATTGTTATATGATTCAGTGAATAAGAATTCATAATTAAATAAGTCCTTTATTTTTTTTCTTTTTGAAAAAATTATCTACATTTTATTCTCCATAGAATCAATCTATATTAGATAAATTTGAAATCACCTTAAGAATAATTTAAATTAGCCTCTTAATATATATAATGGTTAAAGTATACATTTAATCTTTTAGTTTTATATATCATATTTTTAATTTGATACCTTAATTTTATATATCATATTTTTAATTCTTTAACCCTAACATTATTAGTTTCAAATGATATTTTTTATATCAATTGTTGTTATTTTAAAAAAGTTAAATTTAATATATCAATATATGAAAATGAATTTTCACTGTTTGAAAGTTTAATGTTGGAATTTCTTATTAATAAAACTAATAGTGTCAGAGTTATAGAATTAAAAAAAATATTTTGTAAAATTAAAAGAATAAAATAAAACCTCATATAAAAATAAATGATCAAATGGATACTTTATCCTATATATAATTTACAACTTTTTAATGATCCAAAAAGAGGAAATAATTGGAAATAGTCAATCAAATTTTCTTTTTATTCTTCCTCATCTTTCTTGTTCGGGCAGCATTCTTCCTTTAATTTTATTCTTCCATCATTTTTTCCCTCAATTTTCTTTTTATTGTCAAAATTTAAATATAAATCATTATAATTACTTCATTGGGTTCAACGTATAAGCCTTTTTTCTTCTAGCCAATCTTGATCTAAAATAAAAGTAACTTAATACATAGTTGCAAAAATTTGTTTTCCTTTTATTCATTGTATCTATTAACCTAGATTTTTATATAAATTTGTGACATTTTTCTCACTTATTATTGATAATTAGAATTAAAAATAAAAAAGAAAACAATTTATACTTTTATGACAATAGTAATTTTATTGATATATGCAGATTATTAGTAAAAGTTGTTCACATTTTGGACATGAGGAGTGCTCGATTCATTTTCTTGAGATGTGGTCATAACTTTGTTATGATTTTTGTTTGTCTGTGTTCGTTTCTTATATTATATATCTTCAACGTAAGTAAAATATTTTTTAATCGTAAATGGGAATTTAATAAAAGAATTAAAATATATTTTTAAGTCTTTAGTCCTAACATCATTAATTTCAAATGATTATTATGTATGTCAATCATTGTTATTTTAAAAAATTAAACTTAATATATCAACATTTGAAAATTTAATGTAGGAATTTTCTAGTGATAAAACTAACAGTATTAGAGTTATATGATTAAAAAAAATACTTTATAAAATTTAAAAACTAAAATAAAATTTTATATAAAATTAAAAAATCAGATGTGTACTTTATCCTATATATAATTTACAATTTTTTCAATGACTAAAAAAGAGTAAACAGTTGGAAATAGTCAATA